CAATTCTAAATCTTCCAAGTATCTATCTCTAGTATATATTCAGAAACTTTTCTCTCAAGAGCTAGACTCTTCGATGAAAGACATCTGTCGGAGAAGGAAGTATCTAGTATTAGAAATATCCATGAATAAAGAAGAAGCTTTTACTCACTATTTCTGGAAGTATATAAATCAGACTTGATGGGATTCATGACGGTTTTGATGTTCTGTAGATTTGATCTTGTGAGTATAATTTCTTAAATATTATCTTTAGAATACTATTCTCAAATACCATAATATCTCATCCCATCCTATCCCCTATCAAAATCCACAAAAACTACCACTACCCTTACTATTTACCATTCACCAACCCCCACCCCCCAAATCCAAATCCAAAACCAACCTTTCTCTCTCAACCCCTTCCTTTCCTTTCCCTTCCCTCCTTTTTCCCCTCCTTTCCCTCCTCCCTCCATCATTCTCTCCTCTCCACCCCAAATCTACAAACAAACAAAGTCATCTTATACCCATCCCCTATCCCCTGTCCCCCATCCATTTCCATTACATTCATTATACCCATTTCTATTTCAATTTCTATCCATTTAACATTTTCCCTCCACCCTATCTACTAAGTCATCCTTTCTACTCCCATCCCCTTCCCTTTTTTCTAATATTCCAATTTCTAATCTCAATCTCAATCTCAATCTCAATCTCAATCTCAATCTCAATCTCAATCTCAATCTCAATCTCAATCTCAATCTCAATCTCAATCTCAATCTCAATCTCAATCTCAATCTCAATCTCAATATTACATCCCTTTATTCCTTTATCCTTTTGTTCTTAAAAGTTATAATCTAAGTTCAAATATAAATTCAAATCCTTTTTATAGATTCTAAAATTCTTTATATAAGAGAAAATAAATTTCATTCTATTCTAAGAGTATATCTATAACAAATAATAAATAATAAATAACAAGACCTTACTATTTCATAATATATCTATATCTATATATATCTATCTATCTTTCTAAAATCAAAAACCCTATATAGAAATACGAAGCCATCTATATAAACTTTAAAAGAAAACAAATAATATAAAATTCAAATACTATATATTTAGCTATTAATATATATTTATTTAATAAAATAATTAATTACAAGAAGAAGTAATTCTTAAAAAGATCTTATTAGTCTGGCTCTTTATAGTAGACCATGAATAATTTAAGATTATTTATTCACGCTTTATGTATGGTATTTATTCTGAGAGATTCTTTAATAGGTATCTTATACTCAGCGCGTTTCCGTCTCTCTCCTCCCTTTTCTCAAATAATACTATAAACCCCTACAAACCACTAAAAATCAGCTCCTACTCTATCTCTTCTCCCTCCCCCTTATCCTTCTTCTCTCACTTCCTACCTTTCCCACCTTATCCCTTCCCCTCACCTCCCTCATCCCCTTCCCTCTCCCCTCATCCCTTCCCCTCACCTCCTCCCCTCCCCCTCAAGAAACCCCCACCTCCCGCCTCCCCAACGTCCCCCCCACGCTTACACGTGATATTCTAGTATACGCGAGAGATACTCTATTCCTTACTTTCATAATCTATCCCTTATAATCTATTCCCTACCCCTACTCCATCTAGTTAATTAATCAGTTTATTTATATACTCTATATATTCTTTTCTTTATTTCTATAATTTAATTCGTTATATCTATTTATCTATTTATCATTTATCTATTTATCTATTTATCTATTTATCTATTTATCTATTTATCTAGTTATCTATTTATCTATTTATCTATTTATCTATTTATCTATTTATCTATTTATCTATTTATCTATTTATCTATTTATCTATTTATCTATTTATCTATTTATCTATTTATATACTTCATATACTCTATATACGCTCATCCCCAACATCCCATCCCATCCCCAACATTACTATACTCCTATACATATCAAATCCCAAATCCCAAATCCCAAATCTCAAATCTTAAATCCCAAATCTCAATCTTAAATCCCAAATCTCAATCTTAAATCCTAAATCCTAAATCCCAAATAATATAATAATAAACAAATAAACAAATAAACAAATATACTTATTGCTATTAAAAACAAAACAAAACAAAATAAAATATAAGATATAAATCATTATTAAATTATTATTAAATTATTATAAAATTTATTATAAAATTTATTATCAAATTTATTATCAAATTTATTATCAAATTTATATCAAGTTTATATCAAATTATTATTAAATTATTATCAAATTTATATCAATTTAATATCAAATTTATATCAAATTTATATCAAATTTATTTCAAATTTATTTCAAATTTAATATCAAATAAATATTAAATTATTATTAAATTATTATTAAATTTATATCAATTTAATATCAAATTTATATCAAATTTATTTCAAATTTAATATCAAATAAATATTAAATTATTATTAAATTAATAAAAATTAATATTAATAATATCAAATTATTACTAAATTTATTTCATTATTTATTAAAACATTAATTAAAACATTTATTAAAACTGTTGAAAGGTGTGGTTCACGTGATCATGGAGCAGGGGGAGCTAGCCCCAATTAGTACTAGTAAGAGCTCTGTCCTATACAGAGCTCTTCCTCTCGGAAGTTGAAGAATAGTTTAAAAGTATACTAGTCCTCCTAATGCCATTACTTTCTACCCTATGCTTCCCATCTTATTCCCTGTAGAGAGTCATACTTAAAACAAAAACATTAATTGAAACATTTCTTAAAACATTTATTAGATATTATTAGGAATATTTAGAGATATTTAGATATTATTAGCTATTATTAGGAATATTTAGAGATATTTAGAATCGATTTGAATGATTTAATTATAGATAACTTAAGATGGTAAATTTACACGAGAAATTAAATTCGTATGAAATATTGAATTTATTGAGATGGTGAATTCATTTCAGAAATCATATTCATCTGAGTAATTAAGTTCGTATAAGATATTAAATTCACTTAAAAGATTGAATTTACCTAAGTGATTAAATTCACTTGAGCGAACAAACTCATCAACTCTCTCAAAATTCACATCTAATTCCTCAGACATCAAATTTCCAACCCTCGAGAACTTTAACATGCAAGTAAAAACAAGAAAAATCCACACCCGGCATCTCGGAAAAGATATATTTACAGAAAACCCTAGGGATACTTCCTCGAAGATTATAGCCGAAAAAAAACTGAATCCATTACAAAATTACATCCATCCATTCATCCATCCATCCATCCATCCATCTCTCCATCCCTCCATAAAAACGGGTAAAATCTAGCCCTAAGAATCCTTCACTCCAAGTGGATTCATCTAAGATTTGTCGATCTCCTGCCGCAAGGTTTCTATACCTACCTAGTACTCAAGACCACTCGGCTATCCATAATATCCATAATCCCGTTACACACAAACTCATCCGGGATGAGAAGCGTGGCATTGAAGAGCAAGCGACCCATACTCGATTACTCAATACGATGCATAAGCCACGGAGATACTTCCCAAAGCATCCGTCACCATTCCATCCCTCCATCGACCTTCCTGAAAGCGTACCCCGGAATGCAAGACCCGGATGGTGTCCCAGAGACTCGGTTATCGTCTGGTGAAGGATGCGAGCGTGGGACCGCGCTGCTCATAGGTGGGATGTGGTTTTCCCGTTCGGATCGGACCGAGCGGGTGCTGTGGAAGCGTGTGCGGTAGGGGTTCGCGGATCATCCGTAGCCTGACGGATTTATTTGAAAGGATGGTGAGTTTTGTATGTAGTCGTTACAGTTGTGTACTGTGTGTGGTGCTTCGGAGATTCAAAGTAGCATCAGGTGGTAGGATATTGGTAGTCCCTGCATGAATGTGAGTTTTCCCCTTTGTGCGCAGAAGGTTTGTAACGTTGCTCGTTCTTGAAAAATGATGGTCTTGGGGAAGATGTTTGATTCGGATCCGATACTTTTCAATACTTCATCGAACGATGATATGCAGATTGAAACCTCGTGACAGGAAAATCTTGTCGATATGATTGATAGTATCTTTTGGAGAGGTATTTCTTTCTACCAGACTTCTGTATACTGGTGATCCTCTTTAGATTCTTTTTCAACAAGGTACGTTGAAATGCCATGATAGGAATCACTTCAAGTTGAGATGCATCTGAATTGAACAGATTAAGAACCCCCGTTTGAATTTATCCTGAGGTGCTTGGCTGTTCATTTCTATTGTGTGAATATATCAATATTGTCATCCTTTCTCGTAATCATTTGTATGGTTCTGGATATATTAGTTTGATATATAGATAAGTATGATGGTTCCTTATGCTCTCGAAAATAATATGATATTGAGAAGTGAGAAGTAATAACAAGGTGTTGTCCTCAATAATTTATTTCATTCTTTACTTACCTCACCCTCACCGCCTTGGGTTATTTATTCTGCCATTGGATTAATCTCTCATTCTTTACTATTGAAATTGATGAAGATATTCCAAGGTTGTCTTTATTGGAATGAATAATTTACTCCAACCAATAATAGACATGTATTTCTTTTTGATGGGGGCAAGCCCCCAAACCCCCAGTCCTCGCTGCGCTCGATTTTATAACTACGTACACTTTTCTCCGTAGAGAGATATGTTCATCCACGGTGATCTACCTAGTTGTGATTAGTAAGGCTAAGAAGATCGTTTGTCTGAACTATATTATAGTTATTTTCCTCCCATTAATTACCTAGGTCACTAGTAGATATGAATACGTCCTCTTCGCTTATCTATCTTTAATTACCTATATATCTGAAACTCATAATTATTATATATCTCAATAGAATCGGAAAGGATGATAGTATTGGATATCGTATCATATATATAATGATCAATTAGAGATGTACTCGTAGATGAGGATATGAAGAGCTAATCACGTGTAGTATATTTGTAAACAAGAAATGCTCAGTGTTGTAGACAAGTATCAGGTATTTTAGTACAACTGATGAGTTTATTTCTTTCTCTCTCTGAAATGCGGGGAAGTCATGAATTTCATATAATTGTAAAGTGATATTATTCCTCCGTATCAAGTACCGGTAGTCATTGACTAGGTATTTGGTAAGATCAAATAGGTTAATTGAACGACCCTTGAGCCAGGGAGTAAGATATTAATTCATAGATGAAGTATTTGCATTTATATCGTAGCTGGATGTACGATATAATCAAGCAGTTAGGTAAGCGGGGATAGATGGAAGCTACCGGTGAGGAACCCTTCTTCCCCTTCCCATGATGGTCCGGCTGCAAACGGTTCCGCTCACTACCAGCATACTAGTACTCGTGATAGTCACGTTTCCATGATATTGACACCACTTCGTGCGCTTTATCGAAATCAAGACATTCTAGAATTCCAAGGACGTCCAATCGCCAAGAGGAGGGGTAGTTTCCATCATCGAATCATCGTAACGTCGCAATAACTTGATTAATTCTTGCGCAAAATCAAGTTATCAGATGAACTACGAGGTACTTGCTGGAGGTAGGTAGGTACCGTATTCTTTTGGAATATTTAGCTTTCGAAATTGTCATGGATTTGAATGAGAGAAGGAATTGTCAAGATGTGTACACCAGGTACTTTCATTAGACTTTCCACCGAATCATTGTCGTGGGGTAAAACTTGGTTGAAGAGGGAAGTGATGATACCATCGCCATCACTATCAACATCACTCACTGTCAACAAGGGAGAGAAGAATAAGAAATAAGGTCAAAGCTTTTTACTACTTACTTCACTCTTTTTAGTCTTCACTCTTCACTCTGCACTCTTCACTCTTACCTCTTTACCCTTAGATCGGTGGAGTGGATCGTGGATCTTCCTAGAAGTCGATCAGTGCAGTGGATGGATTACCTACCTAGTGAGGTCACTAGTAAGTACCTCCCTAGTCACTCCATTATGACGTATGATCGATCACGTCCCTCAGCCACATCATCCCAATATCCAAATGTCAACAGCTTCATGGATCGGTCAAGTGCATATGTAATCAAGGTCAAAGCACTGTCGACATTCGTTTTCAGTTCGGGATGTATGAAAGAATGAAGTCAACATCAATCAAGGTGTGGCACGGCACGGCACGTGAATTGAAGAAGAAAATTGGCAGTACAAAGAAAGAAGACGGGAGAAAGAAAGAAATAAGAAAGAAAAATAAATAAACATCAGATCCAAGTCTACCTATCCCTAGATGACATCAATCTTTACAATATCTTTGACCTGTATGGAGTGAAAAGACAGATGAAGCAGAAACAGAAACAGAAACAGCCAAGCTCGATGTCTAGCTAATTATTGGAATACACGAATTACACATATACACATCGACAATATACATCGTCACATTATATCACTGCCATCATCAACCTCCACATCCATCCTCACCTCCACCTTCACCTCCACCTTCACCTCCGCCTTCACCTCAAACCTCTACCTCATCGTTTCCTTCCCTTGAAAATTCAACTGACTAAGTTCTTGGTAATTATCAATTATATCACGTCAAGTCATCAACCTCACTTGCCCCAAAATTGACTAGTGGAAGCGAACCGACTATCGTCATCGCCGTAACTGCCGCCCGCTCCCACCTCCACTTGGTTTGGTTCTTCCTTGAGTTACCTTAGCACATGAAATATACTGCATGGACTAAAATTTCAACTCTTATTAAAAGCTTTCCGTGGGTTGGTCTTTCAATCTTTCAATCTTTCAATCTTTTCTTTCCTTTCAAACAAACATTCCATTTCCCTCAATATATTCCGAATATCTATCTTTCCGTACCATCTTGGAAAGCCTTGCTCAATTTTGATACCCCTCATCTGGAGTAAGTCATTTCCCGCTCTTTTGTTCAATTAATTGATGATGCTGCGATAAGTGATACCTATCTGCAAGGGATCGCTTGTACGACAGCGGAGATTTTTCCTTCCAGGTCATTTGTACGATAGGCTGGAACAGAGAATGTAAGAGGCTAACATGGCATTTTGAATAGTTTCCCATCATTCTTCACAATTGCATTGCATTCCTCTTGTTACATTCACAAATCTACTCTTAATATCTTTCAATTAATTCGCTTCTTCCATCATGGCGGCTCGTAAGTTCTCATCTCTATCTCTCAGATCCGTGGTGAAACCACCCAATTCTTTCACGAAGAGTCGCTAATCATTGATCAATTGCAGGTGGCATCATGGCCTTGGTCTCCTTGGTCCTCCTCGGTGCTTCGATCATGTTCATGTTCTTTGTGATATTAGGTGGCATAACAGGCACCACTCCTTTGGACAAAACACAATTTCTCACAGCCGACACTTCAAGCATTGCCGGAGCGAGACCAGTGTCACAATGGAATTTCTTCAGAGTTTGTGGAGCTGGAAACACCGATTGTGGTAAATCAGTACCGGCTCTCCCCTTTGGTTATGCCTGGGTTGGAGGTGGTTCTGGTGCGCCATCCAGTCTTCTTGGGTAAGTGGTGCTCAATCCAAGAATATGCGACGGTAACTAATCTCATATAGCTCGCACGCAAAATCCACCACTAGCTTCTCTTACTTCTACATGTGGAGATTTGGATGGGTCTTTTATCTCATGGGACTCTTGTTCGCAGTCTTTGCGTTCTTTGTTTCGCTCTTAGCAGCGACCGGAAGAACAGCATCCTTTTCCGGATCGGTTTTGTCCATGGTATCTCTCTTTTGGTTCTCCCTTGGAGCTTCATTAATGACGTAAGTTTTTTTTAATCATCGTTATATAATTCATCACGTCTAATCAAGTTGCAGCGCCGAGTTTGTCAAAGCCCGCAACCAGTTCCGTCGCTTCGGTATGGATGCGAGTCTAGGCCGCTATGCATTCGGTTTCACTTGGGCAGCATGGGCATGCTTACTAATTTCTGCTCTTCTCCTTTGTATTGGAGGAACTGTAGGTGGAAGTCGCCGAGAACGCCGCCGAGATAGCCGCCGAGATAGCCAGCCATCCGCTGTTCGTGATGCTCCCATTGAAGCAGCCGGTACGACTGGTGGCGGCGGTATGTTTTCATTCTACCGCAATCAACGCGAGAGACGTGCTACTCGTGGAGACGATAGCTCCTTCACCAGAAACGAAAGTCAGCGTCGGGTTGTCAAGGATGATTATGCTTAAATGCGCATCTTCATTTTTGACAAGGCCGATGCTAACAATCTTGTGATATCTAGCTCGACGTCGACCCACTTGGATGACAAGATTGCGACCGGAATGGATACGAATGAGGAACAATTAATCGACACCCACGATTAGCTTTCGGTTGGATGAGTATCAACTTGTGAACGGGTTGGGAAATCCGTATTAGCGGCGGTGATGGTGTCAGGGGATCTCGCGAAGATTCCCGTTAGCGATAATAATAGCGGATGGGTGGATGGGGATGAGAGTTTCTTTCTTTTCTTTCCTTGCCACGTGTTTTGTTGGTGGTTGTAATAATACCTTAATGTTAGTTGATTTATGAGTAGTATTAATGAATAAAAGCTCTTTTGAAATATATAAGTGATTCGTATGAGAAAAGAGGCTAAATATGTATTGAAGAGGGTGAAAAGCTTAATTGTATTCCTATGAAAAATTGAAGCTATTTAAGGTGCTAGAAAGCTAGTAAAACCACGCTAGAGGGGGCTGTAGTATTCACTCTGATATCTATATGTATGCGAATGAATAATAAGGGATTTTAATGAGATGAGATGAGATATACTATACTCGATTTTATAACGTACCGTATTCTTTTGAAATTTTACAAGAACGCTAGCAAGGATCATTACTTTAAGCTTGTTTTAGAATCAATTAGATTAATTTTAAATAGAATAAAATATCTCAAAATAGAAAGGTTAATTAAAATTTTCAAAACATTTGATGAATAATCTATCAAATTAACAAATCAATCGCCTTCAGTATTTTCTATAATCCTAACCTATAATGAGCTTAAATTTTGAATCTTGATTAGTTTTCCTACAAAATTCCAAAAGAATATAATACCTATATTTAAAACATGACTTTTTTAATCTAATTAAACTTTTTACTAAATTCTATATAAAAATAATTCAATTGTTTTTAATTCAATTAATCAATATAATTTCAAATTAAAAATACTCTATATTATCCTCTAGACCGTAGGTTATAATCAGTATATGTACTTTATATATAAACAAGAACATTAATAACTTTACAAATTATATCAAATATATAAACTATTCAATTAAACTTAAAGCTTAGAATTTAATAAAATAGTAATAATTTAAAGATTTATTATAGATTTATATATCTTATTTTTAAATCCTATTATATTTTATATTTAAGATAATATAATCTACGATTTTAAGAGCTCTTAAATGATAATACTTTTATTAACTAATAAAGCATTATAAGTAAAACCCAGTCATAATCAACGATCTAGGGAATAGAGAGAGAGAGAGAGAGAAGTAGATAGATACAAGTAGATAGATATTTACTTCAAGACTAATACTATTTATCTTACAAGGGGTTTAAATATTTATTAGCTAGGTAAGTAAATATTCAACTCATCATCTTCATCTTCATCTTGATTTCATGTTACCTCATCTACTACACTTAAAGTACTCATCTTAGAAAGTAAGATTATAATATAAAAGCAAGAAAAACTTATAGATAATACCTACCTAGTCCTAGGTAATTATTCACTCAAATTCTTCCCCTTTACTCCTCTCTCCACCGTCGATATTCCACATATCCCCCTCCCGTACTCACATTCAATTCGTTTCCCCCGCGTATATCAAGCGGAATCAAATTTCTCACTGATTCAGGCATATCTTCCCATCCCATCCAATGCTTCCCATTTACATTTCCCAGCATCGTTGTTTCTTCCGATGTAGATATGACATCATTTTCACTCGCGGTTCTACTCTCCTCACATTTCTCGCCGCGGTCGAGTCGTCCTAATCCCAAGGCAAATTCGTCGACCCATGTTTGGGCTACCGCGGCTCCGTTCTCTAACATGGCTTTGTATGAGGAGTGCCAGTTTTCTTGCTCGTTTGCGAAACCTCGTTTTTCTATATTTGGCATTTGTTCATCGATGCCGACGATTTTTTTGCCGTCGAGCCCGCAGGCCGTGATGCGATCCCACCAGCCTCGTTCCATGATCATGTTCAGTCCTACGCCGTAGCTACTTACGTTTCTCCGTAAGTGGACACCGAGACTTGCGATCTTTTCGCCTTCGTTCAACCAGACTCCTGGATTCTCGGTGCGTCCCAGGATCTCCAGGCCCATTTTGTGAAGAAGTCGGATGGTGGATTCTTCGAGGAGGTTTACGTAGCATTTTGCGCCGAGGTTGCGGAATGCGAGTAAGTCGATGATGGGATAGATGACTAGTTGGCCGGGACCGTGGAATGTGATGAGTCCGCCGCGAGGTGTTTGCACCACGTCGGCTATTTGTTCTTTCTTGGAAGAGGTGCTGAATGGCTTGCGGATGGTGGGGAGATGGGTGGTTGAGAGGGGAAGAAATGGTTCGCGAAGAGATCTGAGGAGGGGTTCTGAGAGGGGGGTTTGGAGCTCGCGCCGCCCGGTGGTGTAGACGGGTGTGGGTTGGAATGTGAGGACTGTGGGGATTGGCGCGGGAGGCTTGAGGTCGGGATCTTGCTGAGCTGAGGTTTCTGCTTGCTGGGTTAGTATCATGATAGGAGAGGAGAAGGAGGGGAATGTGATGTCACAATAGGCATACCCTTTTTATATTCAAGCAATCTGGATACGAGCGTAGATTGAATGGTTTGAGCAATGTGGAAGGGGGTAACGCCGCTGAGATGAATGTGGCGGATGAAATTGCTCCGGACTGAGGGAGGAGGTAAAGGAATCATGATTTGGTAATCATAAGGAAAGACAGGAGATCAATATGAAAAATGAGAGTAGCATTAGAGAAAATGAATGCAACAGAATATTTTGCAACGAGGACTTTCAATGCAAAAGAAAAGAGCAACGTGAATTTTGACAAGAATGAAAGAAATGTTGTAGAGGAGATTAGATAAGAGCTTTTCAGAAATGGCTGCAAATAAGCCCAAATCTTATCCTTTCTACTTTATACTTACATTGATAAAAGTATACATAACTATGACAGCAATAGAGGATACTTCCTCTATCTGTTTCATGAAATTGGGAATATGTGAATGAAGTTGTAGAAATCCATTGCTTTAGACATTGAGGTTACACTTTGCGATCAGTTCGAGATGAAGATTAGAGCTTATCGAATATTACGTAATCAGACATCATCATCAAGATCAGATCAGGTAATGCCCCGCCATGCCCGATCTCCTCTTACATTTTAAGCTTCTCTCCCATCGGTACTCGTCGGCTTCGACTTTTCTTGAATATATCACAATTAACTTCAGATTACATCTCAAAAACATATTGACACAAAGAGATCATGGCGGAAGCTCCTTTGAACTACGAAGCCTCAGCTGGCACCACCAATCTCCGAGTCTCGAGAACCTTACCATCGGAAGTCGTTCAATGTTTAGAAAATGCTAGATTTGTATGTCGTCGCCTTTCTCAATACATCTTCTTCACGAGCAACACTGATAATATATAATCCATAGCTACATCTCGCAACATGCACATCTCTCCGTCCTCACGTTTCTCTCATGAACTATACCTATCTGCCCAGCACCCCCTGGTCTCCCTATCCCACCATCATAATGACGACGAATCCCTCCTCGAAGAAAACCCACAATCTTCTCGAAAACCCACACGTCTCGTTATTAGTCCACGACTGGGTCTCGCATAGGCCGCCTACGGGAAACAGAGCTACGAGTCCGCCGCGGAACGCGGGGGGGAGAAGCAGTTTGGCGGAAATGCTGATAGGATTGAATACGAGTGCGATTAGTAGTATTAGTGCGACGATTAATGGGGAAGCGAGGATAGTCGAGAGGGGAGGAGAGGAGGAAAAATGGTTGAGGGAGAAACATTTGGAGAATTGTGTTTTCCTTGGGGAGGAGGGAGTTAGGGCTGGAGAGGGAGATGGGGGAAGAGTGTTTGTGGAGGGGGAGGAGGTTAGGGTTGTTAGTGTGAAGGTTGGGGATGGCAGGGTTAGTGATTGGAAGGGTGCAGTTAGGGATTGGATTTTGGAGGATGCAGGGGAAGGAGGAAATAGTGCTGAGGGTGAAACTTTATTAAATGGTGTTCATTGAGGTGGCGATTAGGAATGGAGTCCAGAAAGTCGATTGATATATATCAGAAGTATATGACTTTTCATGGAAGTATTCAAAGTAAGAAAAGCAGTGCCCTAGCAGGAACAATATCAGCTCGAGACCAAGATTTTGGTGAAGAGAGGATTCGAGGAATGTTAGTGCAGGAGCGAGTTGTCTTTGAAGTCACTGGCTCATCCATGACTTCGGGCTCCATTCAGGTTTCTATAAATTGCTTGCGTTTAATTCAAATGACATTTGACCAAGGGACAATGAAAACTCAATATTATATCAATAGCTCATTACCAGGTTTGAGAATAACGCTTTTTGATCAATGAGAGATTGATAAGAGCACATCAATAACTAGATATAACGCTTAGTTGCTTTCAAATGGAGACACGGTGTCACACATTTTTCTCGATCTTTTATTTCCTCTTAAATTCGGTTAAAGAGGTTCAATAATTTCTACACCATGCCAATTTATGATTACACTCAAAGTTTCTTGAGTCTCTAATTTGTTATTCAGTTCTGTCACGCCTCTCGTTCGAAGGTGGACTCAGTGATTTCCTCTTGTTGAACTCTTGTAGTCACTGATATTGATTGCTTTGATTGAAGTGTTACAATACCTAGGTACACAAGTGTATATAATCCCGTATTCGGCAAAGTAAATGAATGCCCATGGGTTGATATTAAAATGAAGACTTGTATAGAAAGCTAGGAGAAAGGTTAAAGGAACCCGTGATGGCGTATTCTACAATAATCAAGCTCTAGGCTCATCACTCACTAATCAATACCCATTTTCATGCTCATGTATTCACAGCTTCTGTAAATATATTTCGGAACTAGAAAACAGTTGGCGAGGGAGGTGCTAAGCAGGTTGATTGTTATTATTATTCTCTGCATCGAGCATGAGATATGTGAAGCTTGAATTTAATGATGCTTCTTATTCGGAGGAGTCAATCTGGGACTTGGTTGTCTGGCAATCATCAAGTTTCCGCTTGAAGTGGTCTACAAGTTGAGACCAGAGGGTAGAGACTGAAGACTGACATCTTGTCTTCTTTGGTGTTATAATGAGATGAGAAATTGTATAATGTTTCAAGTCTCGAATCACTCAGGAGCATATTGAGGCAATTCTACCATGAACCCTTGTCGGTAGATGGGCACCACTTCTTTCCTGTCTGCCTATTTAGCTATGCTGTTAATGTGTAGAAATCAACTTAACAACGAAGTTGATCAAAACAAAACTGAAGCAATTCATCTTGAGCGAGAAGTCAAACCAGATACTCGGGATATTGCTCTGTTAGGTAGTTTAAGAAGAATTTGATGATGCAAATTACAATAAATGTGGTCGTCGAATCTGGGGATTAATAGCCATCTAAGAAACGCCGCTCATCTTGCAAATCATCTTCTCATTTGTTTTTGTTTAATTCATTCACTAGCCATCAAAGTGACAAGCGAGAATTTTAATCATTAAAAAGCATCCCCCTTTCGTCTCTGTCCCTTCCTCTTCTTCCAATTTTGACACACAACACCACGATTCAGTGCTTCTGCTTCTTTCTCCTGATCACTACCTATTAGTATTTACACTGGAATTATTATCTTAAAGTTTGATAAAGCGGTAAAGTCATTCTTTTATTTCAAGTTACATGTTTTGGCGGCTAAGCTACCTCCTTAAAAGGGTATTCAACAACAATCGAACGAATCAAGAAGTCCTTCCGCTATCCATTTTGTGATTCCAGACAGCTGTTTCGAGACATTCTAACTCACAAAATCCCACTAAGAAGTCTATCCGTCAACTTCTCACAGTCTTCGTCATGGGAAGCAAACCCAGTAAACCCATGATACCAGATCGTCTCACACACTGTACATTTGTTCCCGATAAAAAATTCCATTCCACACTCATGCAATTCGATTTCCTCAAATACCAAACCATCTCCCCCGACAATAGGTTCAATGCAGCGGGTGAAGGAGCCATTGGTATTGGTACGGTTCGGCTTGAGGTACACTGCGGTTGTATAGGCAGAAAGGCATGGGGATTCATTGAATTCAGAAATGTTCGCCATATTAAAGGATCTGAACGACAAATAGGCAGGGAAAAAAGTGAGTATTCAGATGCCGAAGAGGAAACCTTAGGCTCGGGCCCCGGATGGTTGGATGATTTAGTTGTGGATATGGAGAGGCAGAAGTTTTTGTTTATTGTCAGGAATGGCTTCATTTATAGTGCCCCCTGTAAAAAGCTTGGTACGGATTGGAATCGATGGTAAGTTATGATAGACTACTTACCGTGACTGAAATGATCATGACGCTTACTTGTAGATCCCTTGTGCTTTCCACCTTGAACGCTCGACTCTTTCTTTTATAGGGTTAAATCATATAGGCAGACGATTAATCTTTTCCAGAGAGAACAGTCGAGAGAAACGCAAGAATAGTAGCTCTAGATCCATGATCCCGATTCTGGTGGTCCTTCTTCATTATCTCCTCTTAGTTTCTTCCGGTGAACGAATTTCCATGGGAAACCCTTTATTTTCGACGTTAAATGTAATATTTTAAAAATTAAAAATTATGATGTATTTGACAGGCCCTTCATCAAAATCTTGTACTTCATTCTGCTGGGTGTGTTCCCATTGGGAGAAATCCAGGATGGTTTTGCAAATTCATGATTTTGGTTGGAGATAGAGCATAGATCTTGTAGGGTTTCGAAGGATGATATACAATTTTTTTTGCGGGACAAGTTTCATTTGAACAGCGATGGAAATAGATATTGCGAAATTGAACTCTAGATTTGAATCTTTCATTGGATGTTGTTTCAATTCCCTCTGGAAGTGAAATTGTACACCTACCATTCCGTGGCTTTGATACAGCAATCTCGAGATATACCAGCTCTAAACATCACAAGTGAGTGGATGGCATCTTATTAGTACATGGATGCATGACTTCGGGAGTATCACCAATATGGTATGTATTCTCACAGAGGCACACGCATCGGATTCGAAAGAACCAAAGATGGAAGAAAGATTTCATAACTAGCATGTTGAATGCCACTCCCCCTAGTCCAATTTCATCATCATAAAAAAAGTTAGATACAAAGAAGAGAAAAATATATATATATATCCAAACGAAGCATAAACCGCACCATCACCCAGGAGACGTACTTCATCATTTTCTTCCACCCCAGCCTACCCAACTTCCTCTCTCCACCGGTTACTTTCCCCCATTCCATACTCCTCCCCATAATTCCTATCCTCAATTTCCCTCTCTACCCTAAGCAATCTTCCCCAAAACAAACGACAAAGCCAACGACTGATACTTCGTCACATACGTCAAATGAGCCAAAGTATCCAATCCCGAGCAACAAAACGGATCTCCAAAATCGCAGTACGATTTCACGATACTCGAATAGGCTGTGAGCGATTGATCGCTCGAGCGGGGAAAGAGTCCGTTTTGGAAACAGGTTCCTACGTGGAAAGATTGTTGGTTGACCATGTAGCGAGGATCACCCATCTATTCGAGAAGATTGTCAGATATCATGTGATAGGGATGTAAACTATAGACGAAGAACATCGGCTAGAAAGAGAAGTAGAAGAGGATGGAATAGAAGAGAAAGGTTTATACCATAACAGCAGCTTTAACATGCGAACCATACGCGGAGTCAATCGCCGGCGTTTTCGTCCCCAATGTTCCGCCGCCTCCACCTCCAAGCGTATCACTGATACATTCCGCTGTAAATTTATGACACATCAGCAGTGCAAAATAAACAAGAAATAAAGCAGAAGAAACTCACCACCCTGCGAATATCCCAAGAGAACAATTTTCTGCGACGGACACGCATCAACCGCCGCAATGATATCCGCCTTCATAGCCGCAACACCACTTGCAACACTGGGTGCATAAGGCGCCAGCACCGCCGGATAGGAAACCGAAGTTCGCGTGACGGATTTGCTGGTCGCGAGTTGGATGGCTGAAGCGAGGGATCCGATGATGCCTTCGCCGGGCGTTTCGGTGGATGCGCGCGCGGTGATGATGCGGATGTCGGTGCAGGCTGCGGTTGCGTTTGCGGCGGAGGTTTCGGGTACGGGGATGGGAAGAGGGAGAGGGTTTGCGTGGATGAGAGAATTGGAGAAGATGGAGAGGAGGGAGAGTAGTGCGAGTGGTGAGTGCATTTTGAGTGGTGTGTTGTGGGCGAGGAGCTGGATTATGCTGCGTGTGTTTGGGAAGGAAGTCACAGTGAGGATGAGAAATACAGAATCAGATGGGATGAGATGAGATGAGATGAGATGAAACTGATATACAAAAAATCAGAGGATATTCAATGTTCATATACAGTTACACTTCCTTGGTATGTTTCGCCAGCCTCATCCCATTAACTTGGCTCACATTACATCAACAATTCTTACCCAAAACACTAAGCTAACAACTAGACGAGGGAGAAAAACAAACTCATCACTTGCTGGCTTGAAATTCCCGAGGTATTCGTCTAGAATATATGAAGGGGTAAAAAGCGGGTCTTCCCGCTAAATATTCCTTTTGCAAAGAGACGTTCGCCCATTGTACCAAGTGGGTACCAGATACTCCACCACATTGTTTTGTTTCCTACTAAAAGTATGTATATATGACTTCTAGCAGGAGCAGATACACAAAATTGCTATGTCACTGTCCTGATGTCGCCCCGAGGTGTTCTTAGAGTCTGCAATGCCGGGAGTTAGTGCTCCATGTCTACACCTCGTGGATGCAAGCCGATATAAGCCAAGAATGCGGGGTATTCTCATCCAATCTTCGATTTCCAATATCATTCCAATGAAATGTAACAACTGTACTCGCCCCTCTTTACGTTCATCATCTGAACTGTCAATCAAGGCTTTGTTGACATTGCATTGAAGAACATAAAAATACCTCGGCGCTTTGTTCTTCAAGAGATACATCATATACTTGAGAGAAACAATCCGAAGAACACCAAGAAGGAGGATGAATTTCGCAAAAAAATCCAAAACCAAGACGTCTTTTTCACATTAGTCAATGTCATTATGACAAGGTTTCCCCACAATTTTCCACTATGATTGCCGCCACGCCATGACACTTGCATGTAGATCATGATCCACGGGTAAGGTTCAAAGATGAATTGGGATCATAGATTGCAGTTTCTCAAAATAACATCACCCCTTTCATCTCATATAAATGGGGTTTTGTCTGGTCTGAGCTATGATCCATCGTTGGGTTTCCAAAAATTTCTTGATCTGAAAGCAAGTGGAGTAAATTGTTTCTTGAAACAGGATCCCTGAGCCAATCGCATCTTTAACGAGAGTTTCCATGATGGAATTAAAAGAAGCATATACAATGATGACTTTATGCAATTATCTGAGCACAGTATGAAACATCTAACCACTCTGCAATGTCATGCCGAGGTGTTTTTGCCATATAAGGGAAATCAAATGAACATTAACGTAGAACATCAGATGGTGCTACACAGGTTGAGTGATCATGTAAGTGATTGGTTCACAGGAGTTGCAGCATCTCACATGCGGCTTTCCCCACAATACGGGATCTGATAGACTAGACTAGAATGATAGGGCTGGACGCAAATTGTAAGTAGACATGATACTCCGAAAATTAATTTGCTTGAATGAAAGCCCAATCCACCGAGGTATACCGTGAATTCTACTAAGGTATATGATCCAGATCATGGGTTCTCAAGACTTTTTCCGCAGTCATGATTTTGTTTCCCACTCATGAAGGTTGAGATTTGATCATTTGTAAATCTGGATGCTCGGCATGCAACTCATTACAACTCTGCTGTCTCTTTCCTAGGGACTAAACATCAAAAAATAGCGACCTGAATTTGCGTCATGTGTGCAGCCTTCCCCGACCCATACACAAAATTTAACACCTTTGACCATTGTCCTTCAGCCGCTACCAAACGTCGCGAATTTTCCAATGAGATTGCATTTATTCTAACCGGTAGAATTCAAAAGTAGATCCGAAAACCCTTGCGAATATCAAGCCAGAGGAAGCTAAACATGACTTATTGATGGGTCGAGATGGTAGATACATTGCGCAAATCTGGGGAAAGCCAGAAGAAGCTTTTTCGCTCGCTGTTGTGCCACCAATTAGAATGGTAGGTGCTAGATACTGGAGGGCGAGGGCTGAATACGCTCCAATAAGGACGAATATCTAGTAGGTCAAGATATAAAACCTGTTTAGCCAGCCAATCGCAGCTTTTTACCGTTTCGGTTAGCCCTGTTTAGCTCGATGTGGAATTTGACTGCGCCATTGGCCGCTAACCGAATATGTTCTTGCAACCTTTTGATAGATGACGACCTCTCCTTTGATATTTGAGGTCGACTGTACGGAATCGATTCAGATCGTATATACCAGTCAAGTCGTCTATATCTAGAATTCTGGATGTACCAGAAGCCCTGATTCATAGGATCATACTAAAAGCGACAAAAAATAGTTTCACTGGATTTCATATCTTGAGGTATCAAAATAAGTCAAGAAGTACACTTGGAAGCACTTCATCGCATGCCAAAATAATCGAACCTGCTCATGTGTCAGTAATTGCTCTCTTAATACAGACGGCAGAAACTTACCAGTCTGCGACATCTAGAGTCGAAGGAATCATTTGTTGAAAGTCCGGCTGTATCCAGTATGCCATCTGATCTGGAGATATGTAATTCATGCTGCCAGGATAATTAGGGTCTTGATATTGAACTGTTTCCTGGTTTGGATTGGTTATTGAGGTAGTAAGCCACAAATCATCAGAGGGGAAATATTCACCCCCATGTATTGATGGAGTAGATTGATGCTCAGCTGGTGGCGCAGACGGTATGCTCGCGGGCGAAACACAGTCGTTGTTACCATTGAATGTCCGACCCTCATTTGAAATACTTGCACCCTTTCCTGATACGAAATTCAGAGTTGCTTTTTGGTGTGCCAACAGAGAGTGCGTAAGTGGAAGACTGTCTTTCTTGGGCTCTCTCGCTGATTGTGATGCTGACAATGGCTCTTCAATGAAGCTAAACACAGGCACTGTATGTTCACCAATTTTCTTGAAACGTTTGGTACCCTCAAGAGTGTAATTTGCAAATCCTGCTGCCTTCAAAATCGTCTCGAAAAGACCTCTAACCATCTTAGCGACTAGCCATACATCAGAGAGCTTGTCCAGAGCAGACATGCAAATTGAAATTCTTTTACGAGCATCTGAATTTGTTGATGGCAGATAGATTTGTAGTTCATAGACATGCATGATCAGGGCAGACAGTAAAGAGTATATTCTATAGCATCATTAGCAACCATAAAATACCCAGTATACGCGACATTTTTCCTTACAAAAATGGAGGAGCATGCCTCAACTCGTTGCGTGCAATCATATTTTCAGCGACTGAAGTGATTGCGCCTGCAGATTGAAAAGCAGGGTGTTGTGAAATATCAAGCTTCTCGTGAAGTTCAAATGATGACTTGACTGATGGCAAGTAGGCACGATACAAGAGGCACCTTGTAGTATGGTATATAGAGTACAAATACGAGGACCAGAAGTTGTTATTCGAAGAATTCCATCGAATCTGTCTGGGGCAATTCTGAAGCCATTCATTTAAAGCTTGATCGCACTGTTGTAGGATGAGAGAATTATTGCCATGCTTCTTGGATTGTAAAGAGTAATGCTCAAAGAGTATGTCATCCATGATCTCGCAAATTTTCACATAGTGGAGAAAGAATTGCACTTGTATTTCATCCTCAGGTCCCATGTGATCGTCAACGAAATCTTCTTCCCGAATCATTTCTAAATCGGAATCTTCCAAATTGATATGTGCTGGGCGTCCAAGGGCGGTAGCTACGGACCGATCTCTGGTGTACAAAGTCCACCAGATCCTTTTCCAAAGCCTTTTGTCTGCGGGACTGAGACGAGAGCCACTGGGATTTCGGTGCATTCCGAATCCTTGAGCGATAGTAGTTGCCAGCCCATTCCAATAAAAAACATTTTTTGTAACCACCCCTGGCTCTTCCCAGTACTATTTTGCAATATTAGTATTCTAATCAATGATGCAGACATAAGGAACCAAGAACGTACCCATCCTAAGAGAATAAGTGCTTGAACTATAACGACCCGGTCTTCCTCATAATCAGCATCGTAGAGCGCTTTTGCTCTTTTATAAAATATTGTTGCTGCTGGAATGGGGGAACCATTTGCATCCAACAGCATGGATGTAGTGCAAACTCTGGATCCAGCTAATAAGATTGCTTGCATTAGAAGTAAGGGAGGCTGATTATCGAGGTCGTGCCACCGTTGCATGAACCACGATTTATTAATGATTGGAATGACGGGAGCTACCCATTTAAAATATGCATCAATCAATTCCTCACACAAATTTCGAGGAGGCAGATGTAGTGCACCTCGCTTTGCAAGGATATCCATTTCTTCTGGGTTCATTTTTGTAGCCATGCGTTGATTTGCAGCGTCCTCCGGAAGAGGATAGTGCACAGCGTCCGTTGTGCCATAATAATCCTTCATGAGCATTGCCAATGATGATTTTTCCTGTAAGTATGCTACTTTTCCAGGATTTTCAATTGCCGATGAAGAAATTGGTGGACTTATTAATTTGACGTATTGTTTGGTACTGTCAGGTTGCTGCTTGATATGGTGACCAGCTTGAAGAATCAGAGAGGCAAAATCATCGTGATTTGACGCGACTGGCCGAGGAAGCTCATCATCGTCATTCTTTTCCTCTTCTCCATCGCCGTTCTCATTGGAATGATCGCGCTGCTTAACTCTATATATTCGTGTAAGAATACAAAAGCAAAAATTTGAGGGATGAATTTCAGCAAGATCTTGGTCTGAGTACTGACAATGAACTGGCGGACTTTCTTCTTCCGGCGGTCGTTCCTTCCCTGCTCACGTTCTTCTTTCGCGGGGGAATATTGCAGTCCAAGAAGAATGCTTCACAATTTGTACACTACAAAATCGTGGAGTTAGTAATAATGAAGAAGTAAGCACTTAAAGGAAAGGAATTGGTGAATGGTTTATACTCACTGGGATTCCATGAGATCCTGCGTCGCATCGCACCTAGTTCGCGTCAATGATATACGTAAAAGTATGATTCAAGGTGAAATTTCATACTCTTCTTGAATGGCACATCTGTTCAAGAATGGCATTAGTATCGACCGCCATCTAGAGTGATGATGGTACTTACCCCGCATGCTCTACCTGCCCGAGGTCTTCATTTCTATTTAGCAAACTCTACATAGGGAGAAAACACTATTCATGGAGCACTTACCTGCGAAAAGTTCGACGACATGGTAAGGAAGTAGACTTCGTGGACATATCTTCTGTTTTGTTATTTGAAGCACCATGATGTCCCAAGTGGTCCCCTTCAGAATAATGTTGTTGGTGTTCAGGAGCAAATTGGAGACTAGTCGAGGGATTCATCGTTGAAGAGATCGTTCTCGAAGACCAAAGTTTGAGAAATTCTCATGATATGTAGTCATGATCATGACGAATGAGAGAATGCGAATATTATTTGGGCTCTCCCCAAAATATGGGGATTCCCGATATTAATGATTTCTAATGGCTCGTATTTAGCTATTAGGTGATGGGTTTTTAGTGTGGGGTGTGGGAATAAGAAGAGCTAAGGTCGATACCGCACTTGTAACTTCATGCATGCCATGTCCCTGAAATTCTTGGAGTGCAGTAATAGTGCGACACAAGCCTGGACGATGTACGGATGACAGTATGAGAATCACAGTGAGATATCGCGTGGCACCGAGGCTCTAAGATTGGTGGTCATGGAGATCGTTTGGACTGCACTCTGGATGAGAATACATCGGATTGTTCTACTGTCTTGATGGCTTTGTCTAAGGTTCAGTGCTCGAGTTTCCAATGTTGGCATTCCGTGCGAGTAACTTTAACCTCGTAATGTTCATACTGCTTGCATTGATTGGATAATAGTAGTAACAATGGAAGCTCTAGCTATTAACTGCTCAAAGCTCCCTATACAGTTGAGTTATTCCATAAGCTATTCAAGTAGTGCAATCTCATGCTCCTGGTGCTCCAGATGTTTACTAGTCTAGAGCAATCATTCGGCCTAGATTGCAACATAGATTAGATAGCTCACAGGTCTGCAATCTCATGCAAATCGCCTGTACTGAATATTTTTGACCACCAAATAGCTCTCGTTGGCATTTCCCCCCTTCTCTGCGATCAATTTCCATATATTTTGTTTCGGATAGTCTACTTGATCGGTGTCGTTGCTCGTGCAGGCGTGACATCAGCCTTATTTCAATCTTGTAACCGCAATACTCCCTCACATCTTACATGCAACTCGAACAGCCCAAGTTGGGTGTCAAATTGACATGTCCTGTTTCTTGTTCAGAGGTCAATAGCAATGGTCATTAATTTCACTTCCAGGTTGCAGAATTCTATAACAAGGCCTCTTCATGTAGTCTGAACGGGTAATTTGAATTAATTGTTATTTACAGGTTGTCTTGATAGCCTGTAGGGTATTGAAACTCCTCCATAGATAAAGAAGTTAGGGGTAGCGAGGAAGTGAAAGCGTGGGCCAAAGGCGCAGAGCACACTAATATATCTGCAAAGATTTCCCATTCCCACCGACCGAAATATTACTCTGTCTGCCTCCGATCGAACTTCTACGATTTGCCGACTCAGAACGCACTTTGCGCTGTAGGTTCATCGCTCCTCCGTTTCCACTGCCATCTGCGTCAGACTGATATGTGTAATTGGTCGGTCTGTTCATCTCCGTGGTGTCCCTCGCAACACTATAATGATCAAAAACTTCCTTAATCAGACCATCCACCTCTGATTCACTGATTGTCTCTCCCCATCCAATTGCCAGCCTGGCATCGCATTCCTCGATAAAGTCTTGGACTTTTCGCATCTCAAACTCGTCTTTGCGTAATCGATCGGGCAATCCTTGACTCTTCAGGAGTCCTAGGACTCCAGCTAAACATGTGTTGGCAACTCCCAGTATAGGAACTGCCTGCGGATATACTTGGGATAGCTGGCCAAAGGAAGCGAGGACACCACCGATAAAGAGCTGCGAGAGTATAGAGATATAGTATACGCCTTCCATGAAATGATATTGCAAGGAGAAGTTGCGTTGTTGAATAAGAACGGACTTGTAAATACCGTAGGCATTTCCACGTAGACTTTCGAAGTCAGAGGGCGGAGAATTGGCAGGCGAGGTTATAGGAACATTGATGCCGACTGCGAGACGAAATTTCTGGAGAGCAGGTGGAAAGAACGATGCTGAAGATGAGGTGGATGCATGGCGGTGATGCGAAGGAGCGAGCTCAGATAAGAGAGGGGTATTTTCTGCGGACATATTGAAAGTCGATTGAATATAAAGGACTTACTGCGTAGTTTGATGAATTAGAAGAGAATTAGGGGTACAGAGACATAGGGGAATATATATGCATTTGTATGTCCCATCATGTCCCATCATGTCCTCTTGTTGATAGACAGAAAAACAAAGTTCACGCGACTAAATCATGATCGAGTCTGATTCAGTGATTACGACCAAGGTAGGTCGCTCCCACCGGTATCGTGATAAATGATCATTACCTTCGTTCGTTATCAGACGAAGTCAACCCCTGATGACCCAGTCTGTTATTTAGAGAAACAGAACTTGAGAAACTCAAGGTTGATACGAAGCATTTTCATGGTTGAGGTCTTAAGTCGTGAATACATGTCGCCTGAACATGCCCGTATTATAGCGTCGGTAAATCCCGACCGAGATCACGGCTAACACCATTTGCTGATCCAACTTTCCTGGTGAGCTTCCTTTCAGATTCTACCTGCTACCATCTTATTACAACAACTACGAGTTATATCATCTCTCACCATCATACTTTTGATCATAACCTTCCAACACCGATGAATTCGTTTGCCAACGTGAAAAGTCCTGGGTCTTGCAGATCGCTACAGAAAGCAGCCAGCCTCTGCAATTCGAATAGTAATTGCTGATTGAGGGAGGCTGCTTGTGGTGAACGTGATCACAACTGGCATGACGAGTCATCGCGTGAATGAAATTTGGACTGGAAATGGGATGCACTCAGATTTTGTTACTCACATCCAGGTGGAGAGAAAAAGGCGATCTCCACGTGCTCAATTCAATACCATGATTCGATTATTCGAGGTATTTTGTGCGGTTGATTAAACATCTCAGACTTTGCATTGATTTTCTACTACATGATATCGCAGCCCATCTAGTGCTGACCCCATACTAAATCACTGTTCAAATTTTTCATCCAGACAAATGAAGAAGTTCCTTTTATCCAAAGAGAAGGCAAAGGAATCTTTCCCACAGATACTTCTCTGGGTGATCAAGATCGAGCCAGTTCTCCAGCTTAGACGCACTTCTGATGCGTCGTTCTGCACGTCGAAGGAATTATGATGTAGATTACGAATCTATCGATAGCTCAAAGATGCGAAGTTGTATCTCCTATGATTCAGAAAATGGCAGCAATTGTATCTCAGTATTTGACAATACCTACCACACTGAAACCTTACGAAAAGGTTGAAAAATCCATTCCAAACATCAACTTCACACACCATCGCGCAGAATCAAATCGTCTGTATTCACAACACACCTGCACTGGAGCAGTCAAGAAGACAGTATCAAGGCTGGATTATACAACTTGCAAAAAAAAGTTTCGGCTTCATCGATTTATTGAGGATTGAGAAACAGAGCAACCGCAGATTGTGATGTCATCGCCACGAAGCTTGCTATCTACAAGCTACGTATTCTAAATGCCCATTATCACCGGAGAATTAAAGTTGGAATCAAGCTCGCGGGTCTCAAGATGATGCGATGAATCCTGGCATATTTATGAGATCTTCTCTTTCGGGTTTCAGATGTGAGATAAGCCAAGGATGAGAAATCCACCTTGCAAGGAGGCACAACGCATCGTTTGATATTCCGTCCCATCTTTCATTCTGTTTTGATCTGATATAAATATCATTTGTAGGTTTGGATGCAGTTCATCCATTCCTACCCCTTTGCTAAACAATCTGGACGTTCCGATCATGTTTTGTGTGTGACACAGTAACAACTCAAGTCAGACTTGACCAGATATCATACTCTGTTGCAAGATTGGCAGTAACTGGTTCATAACCCGGATAAATTTTTGGAGTTTTGTTGCCTTTTACTACACTGGAGGATTTCGAAATAAAATTGCTCGTATGTTGGAGCAATTGCACTTATTGAAATGTAAGTTAACTGTCATAATTTTTTTTTGGAAAGCAGGTAAGCCTGTCAAACGACCCCGCGTTTAGAACACTCCAGACCCCTGAAGGGTTGTGCCATTAATATTTCACATATCTCATCCTCCAATAATGGCTCGTATCACATATCTGATGCTCAGGAGCTCTAAGTTTCGAATGCACCGCCGCCGTTCTTCGAAATGATACATAGATTATTGCAATAAATAAAAACGGTCTTCTCATCCTTATCCTCACTTACATTCTCTCAGCTGTGCTGTAACTCGCTTTGTTGCTGGCCACTCTTTATTTTATGTTTATAATATGTTCTTTCGTTGATAAATTTAATCATACTTATCATTCTACTGTTTAAGGACGCGCTTCCTCCCGGGAATCTTGTGCCATAAAATCAATTTTAACATCATGCGATTTTCATTCTTCTTTCTCGTCTTTCTTGCCTCACACTTTGCGAAGGGTGATTTTATACTTCCTCAGCCAACGAGTCATATTTCTACTGGATTTCCAACTCAGATATCCTGGTCTACCGATCCAGTCACTGGCCCAGTCTCTTTATTTCTTGTTCCAGCAGGGGTACAGGATGCTAGCGCTTCTATATCTGCTATTGGGAGTATGTTTACCAAGATCTTTTCACTGTGTATACTCTCAAGAGTCAGTACTAATTGGCTGCACAGCTCAAATTCCAAATGATGGGATGTATCAATGGGTTCCACGCGACACGCTAACTACAGCGGAGTCATATTTCTCTATACTCATGGTCGATTCCAAGAATATTCAAACAGTATCCGGTACCTTTCTCATAGTTGGTCTACAATCTTTTCAACCAGGTGGTGAACTTCGCAGAAGAGTCAATAGCAGCATAAAATCGTCAGATAGTGGCAAGAATGAAGGATACAAAAAATCTAATTCAACGGAAACGAAAACAGTAAATTCAGAGAGTAAAGAACCTTCGAAGTCTGTAGTCCTGGGGACTAGTTTGTCGGCTTGCACTGCTGTAGTCACAAAGACCAAATATCTGTATTTGGCTGCTACGAACGTGGCTAATACCAAGTCGAAAAGCTCAAATGGATCGGAATCAAGCGGCACTTCGGCATCTTTGGCCTTTTACCTTGATAGACGGTCTACAGATATCTCCCGCTCGTCTGAGCTTATGAGCTTGAGTTCCAAAAAATCTTCCGCGTCTAACAGTACATCCAGCTCGAAGTCGACGTTCCAAGATTCTAGTTTGAAACATAACTATGGCTTAAATTCTTCATCTTCGTCTTCATCCTCTGAAGCAGACTTCAAGAAAAGTCATGACTCACAATCCTCGTCTGATTCTAGCTCCAAGAAAGGCTCTGGCTCGAAACACTCAGCAACTAATTCCAACTCGAAAGGAAACTCCGGATCAGAGTCCTCATCTTCTGGATATGAATCAAAGGGAACCAAAGATTCATCAGGCTATGAATCTGGGTCTCAAGAGAGCAATGAATATGGACATGGACATGGACACGGACACGGATCTAGCTCTAATTCTAACACCGGTCATGAATCCAACTCTACATTGGAACATACCTCTACACAAACTGATTGTACATTGGTAACTTCCACAACTATCATATATGTGTCGTCTAGTAGAAATACTCACACTCAAGAGGTATGTATTATTTTATCACTCTTCCAATATTCCCTTACTACCTTCGGCTTCTCCATATATCATTAACTACACGAAAATTGACTAATCCATACAGACCAAGACACACACATCCAACATCGACAAAACAACCTTGATACATACTAATACAATCATCAGCACCACCTCCCAATCCCTCTTCTCCATCCCCATCTCCGCGACTCTGGCATCGACCTCCACACTAACCGCCTCAACTATTTCCCTCGCTCATATATCCACAATAGCAACAAGTATGGTTCAAACCATCCAAGTCCCTCATGTCTCTGAGATTTCTCAAATCTCAAGTCTCGCAACTCCCGGGCCTATTGAATCCATTCCCCTCTTCTCCGCCTCGATTAGCATTCCCTCACTTACCCCAATCACTACATCTCCGCCCCCCATGCTCACACCCCCAGAAACCACATTCATAGCCAGCTTTTCCAGTATAACCGGTATAACCAGTATACAAACCACAGCAATCACAACAACCACACCCAGCACACCACCACCAAACCCATCCAACACAACCTCACCCACCTCACCCCCACCCCCGCCTCTCTCCCCTCAAACCACAACCTCATCCGAAATCCAAACCTCTCTTCCCCCCGTAACACTCACAACCCTCTCGAGCTCAACCACTTCATCTGCAGTATACAATCTCACGATTCAGAGTGCGACGGGAACTGCGCTGCCTGTTTTTACTGGGGGTGTGGGTTTGCGTTATGCGGGTTCGAGGGAGAGATGGGTGATGTGGGTGGGGGTGGGGGTTGGGGTGGGGGTTGCGGGGTGGATTTTGTGAAGTGGGGGAGGGGATGGGGTTTGGAATGGTGGAATGGGGGGAGGGGGGGGATGATATGGGATGGGATGGCATAGGATGGAAGTATAGATGTACCTAGGCAGTATAGAGTGGTTTTTATATTTTGATTTCTTTTATAGAGAGGTTATGTAAGAGTTGAGGCCCCGGCTTATCGCACACTACCCTTTTTCGTGATAAAATCCCTGCAAAAAAGTCGTTTTTTCATACAAACTTATTTCTTTTATAATTTATTTAATAATTAAAAAGTTGATTTGAAAATCTCTTACATAAGAAATTACTATATTCAAAATCTTAAAAAATGAATGAATTATTTTTAGCATTTTTTTTGATATAGTTATAGATTTTCAAAATTGAAATTTTTCGAAATTTATTACATATAACACTTTTCCCATACAAAAAAATCGATTTTTTTGGATTTTTTGGAAATTCTAATTTTGAAAACCTATAACTATATCAAAAAAAATATTAAAAATAATCTATTCATTTTTTTTAAATAATTTTAATAATTAATTATAATATATATCAATTTCGGAATTTCTATTTCTATATTTATTGAAATAATATATAGTTCAAAAGTTGAAGAAATAAAGGTTTTTGGTATGTTTTCGGCTAGTGTGCGATAAGCCGGGGCCTCAACTCTTACTATAACAATCAGATAAATAATATATAACAATTAGATAACTAATCCATCCATCACATTTATGCAAAGTACATCGTGCGGAATCACTATCACTTCTGAATCTTTTAAACATTCCGCGATATCAGGCACCGTGTACTTCGTGCTGTGGTATTTCGCTGGGAATATGATTTGAATATTTTTAATTAATATGCATATAACCAACTATAGCACTGATTTGAGAGACTATGTTGAGTTCTAGGTTTTTCAACTCGAAAATGTAAAATCATGCGTCAATTCAAGTCGAAACTAACAGACGCCTCCAAACTGTTATGTAGGAGATTCTGCGGAACCAAAGTCTCTCGGAAAATTGACCCCGAGAACTCATAACCTCTACACACTCCATCCTCTTGAGAACATTATATTCTTCTTCGCATATCCTTATCACCGGGATCACTATCAGGTGAAAGACACCTTGAGATTCACCGGAGATGTTGAAGCCTACAGCATGGCCGCATCTAGCAAAGATGTATCAGTAACCACCGACCTGATAAGTTGCTTTGCTTTTTCGGAACGACCTGGAAACCCTTACACGCCATTAAGAAAAGCCTTCTTCGAGCCGTTTCCGGGAGGAGTCTGACGAGCCAGGGTGATAACCATCGTGCCTCAGGTGGGCAAGAGGATTTTGCAATCAACTCAAGAAAGGAGAGTCGCAAGGATGCAATATTTCCCTCAACACATTTATTTAGATTAGAGTAAAATTCCCACACATCTGCCAAAGACAAATTCGCATATTTCCTTTGAAATGCAGTAACCCTGGGCGTCCGTCATGGTATAAAAATCAAAGTGGGTAGCTTCTTATCGGCTTTCAAAGTAGTCAAGAAGGCCAAAAGTACATGATTATTCCATGTTCGGATGTATTGCTTGTGTGACCGATGGGCAAAATTGAAGTAGGTAGAAAACACCATTGACGAGAATTGTTATGTCGGAGTTTCGAAGGTTTGAATGACTGCAGAAGTACCAAAGCTCGTGTCCTTTCACAAAACCTGGCGTAAGGAGTATACATGACCTGGCTCTGTTCAAGTATCTAGTCAGAATGCCCATTCGCTATTTCTGGGTAAACCATATGAGCAAGCAAGGAGACTTGGTTTGTGATTCTCTGGTTTGTTCCTGGAGTATCATCAGCGCGAAATCCATCGGTAGTTGTTTATAGACTCTCGAAGCGAAGGTAATCCAATCCACAGTCCATCGAATCAATCTGGATTCGCGATTCAGGAACATGATGTTTCTAGAGCCTCTGCGGGCCGTCATTATGATAATCTACTCGTTGGACCATTTCGAAAACTTGGGCAAGCTTTCTGTACTGTTAGATAGCCTCTGGGAGTTCGGTAATACTTCTTCTGAGCATTCTGCCAGAGGGAGCGCATGATCTCCTAGAGTCTCCTCCCATTGCTGATTCGATTTCTCGGTTGCCTTGGATACCGGCTTTGTGCCGTCGAATTTGGAGAGCACAGGTGCTTTGTCTCGCTTGACACGAGGCTTTGCATTTTTCAGTTCACTTTCCTCCCTCCAATCATATCCGACTCGCACAACCTCTACCCAATCATCTTTCGCAAGATCACCATCTGGTGTTTCTACGACATCCCATTCACCGTTGGATCGAACCCAAACGACCTGATCGAAACAAGCTGGGCAGAGAAGGCCTTCGTCTGTGAGAACTTCAACTTTACGGGTACAGGCTCGAGGATCTTGGTTGTAGAGAGGACATCTCGTTCGCCGGAAAGGACGGTGGCTGCAGTTGATATAGGTGGAGAAATAGGTAGTACACATATTGCCACGATATTGTCGCAATAGCTTTTACGATGTGATTGCTGTCTTTTTATGGATCGCAAGGAAGTTGCTGATACGATTCGTCAATGTTGTTGCTTCAGACTGGTATATGTCGTAGATAGATGGATGGTGAAAAGGTTACAGTTGAATACCATGATCGGTACAAATTGAAGGAGCACTAGATTAGCGCACTTGAGCTTAGCACGCTTAACCAATGTGACACATGATTCAGATGACCATTTATTCAATAGGAAACTGATGACTCAGTAAATTAACGCGGCGCTTACCAAATATGAGGTCTTGATTAAATGTATATTAATGAAGATGTGGGATATTAACCATCCAATAACAAAATCTGGGATGTTCCTGGGTGGAATCTGTGATGAATGAATAATAATTTTGAGAAGAGTTGAGGAAGTTCAATGACGAATGATGATTCAAATGAACTGGAGAAGTCTGTGCCATTTGATCTTATCTTGATCTTATCTTGTTGTGCTTATGTACTCCACCATCATTGATGCTAAGATAACATGCAAGAGCGGGAGTTCGTTATCATTTCTCCGGCCAGTCTCCAGCCAGTCTCAGTCACTAGACAGCGCGCTACGCGTGACCCTGCGGCCGCTAGTCTATCTTGGCAGCCTCGGTCCATGTCTCGCGACTTCCTGTCACTTCAACCTTCGGAATTTGCCCATTTTGGTTTGATGATCTTTTAGAACAATTGACACATTCTTGAGGAAGGTACGGCACGGGTGATTACCTACGATTTGTTGAATATGGCAGACGAACTTTCTTTACCACGATTGATCAGAGATAATACAAATTCTACTTCAACGTTCACAAAAACAAACTTGTCGCGAAAACGCGTCCGCGATACTCCCCCTCCTGATTCAAGCGATCCTCCAATATTCTCTAGCGACGATGACCCCTCAGTAGAGAAATACTCACAGAAAAGGACACGACGGAAGCAAAAATTTAGAGGACCTTGGTTTGATCAACAGCTAGCTTCCGATTCAGCCTTTGAGGATGAGCCCTTGGACCGCAAAGTTCCCATAAGAAACAAGAGAACATTGAATAAGAAAGTTGACAGCGGGGTATTTATGGGTAGTGATGGTACGGACATGGAAGATTTAGTCATGGAGAACGGAAAGAAGGCATGGCCAATTCCTGCGCCATCACCTCTCAAATCAAGAATTGTAGTCGATACACCTAGGGATAATCATGCACAGAAAAGGATTGAAAAGTGCCTTGAAGATGGAGAAGAATACGTTGATTTATCGTAGGTGAAGACTATCCCTCTTCACAGTTCTGGCTAATTATCATTAGTCGTATGGGTCTTGATCACCTTGAAAACTCCACAATACGCCCCTTGGGAACTTTCGTTAAAACCGCAGGCGGTTATGCCGTCGAACCTCATTTGAGGATAATCCTTTCGGCCAATGAGTTAGTGAAACTTCCCGCCGAGCTATTCAACCTAAATCGATTATCCACACTCAGTTTACGAGGCAATAATTTAGAGGAAATACCACCCAGTATCGGAAATTTGAAAAGATTAGAAGACTTAAATATTGCCCAAAACAACTTAGGATATCTCCCTTTTGAAATTCTTGACCTTCTTGTCGGTGGACTCAATTCGATACCGGTAAGCGACGTCCTGTTTATCAAGCTTTGGTCAATTGCGCGACAAAAAATGAAGCCATTTTTTAACAAACCTACCACGCTCAAATAACCACTAACAACACCTCATAGATCGATTCTGACACACAGCCGTTATCTGAAATTGGGAGGACTGGAAGATTATATGATTTCCAGCTACATCCGAATCCATTCTACCTCCCGATGGCAAGACCCGAGAGTACTGAGAATGGCGCACCACATTTTGAGATTGATCTACAGCGTCAATCACCATTAATCTCCCCAGCATTTCCCACTGCAGAAGATACTATATCTCTGCCTCTAAATCGTGATACACCAGGTCATATATTTCACCAGTGGCATCAAGGCACTCTACCTCGCCCAAGCACACCAATCTCGGGTGGCGAGAGGTGTTCCTTGTCTTATCAATGTAGAACAGAAGTCAGATTCCTTGACGCTTTTGGACAGCTTATAAAAGGGCCTATGTTCCCTTCTGATCCTCGGTGGAATGGGAATCACGTGGGAAGGCAAATCCAACTGCCCATTGCAAGCCTGGGTGATATTCCGCAACCCCCTGCGGCACAGTCTCGCGTCCAGAGTCTGGTAGAGAAAGCTTTACAGGCTTGTATTCGTCACCCGGAACTCACACGTCTCGAATCTCACATGGAATACATTCCGCCTCGCATTCCATCAGTACTCCGAAGAGCAGAAAACGTCCATTATTCCGGGCCAACCTTATGTACTATTTGTGGCACCAGTTTTGTAGTTCCTCGCACGGAATGGATAGAATGGTGGGAGATTGAGAAGGTATCCAAGAGAGATCGTATGAACGCGGCTTCAGCGAGTGGTCCTACACCCAGACGTGTAGTTAATGAGAGGGACATGGTTGAAAAGTTTGTACCTTTGATGCGGAAAGGCTGCAGTTGGTCATGTTTGCCAGAAATATTTCTACATGGCTCAAATCAGCCTTCCAATGCCGGTGAAGACGACGCCAAAACTGAGATGAACATAGACACGAATGTTTAATTTACTATTGTACATGGATTAGAACTGCTATGGGGGGTATCTCTTCAGCGTATATATCTTTCAAATGCGACAAATTCCGCGCAAAGCTTACCTTTCTATGCTATTGCATTGAGCAAACTTTGATTTGACTTTTGTGCATGGCCCTGCTGTCTCATCTAGTGATTTAGAAGTCGACAGGCTGTTTGCCGAATGGCGACGCAATTCATCGGAAAGTTTTAGGTTAACCCAGAAGTCTTATTTCAGTTTCAACTTTCCTCAACAGTAGGCGCATGGTCTCTTGCACCATCTAATGCGATTCGACAGGTATCAACTGTTAAAGCGGTTGAAAATGGAAGTGTATATGCTACATTACTGACCTTGAAAATTCCTGATCAACTGCTTTCAATGACCCACCGATCAAGGAAGTTAATCTCCAAGATGAGCTTAGTCGTATGATCAATATCCAGACTAGAGGCGGCAAGGCTGGCTCTTGGTTCTCACATTTCTTAACGAAGTAACAAGATACCCCGTTAAAAGAGCCATAACAACCGAAACTGACGTAACATAACTCACGGTGAGCCGTGGTGACCGAGTTCGCAAGAATATTTCTAGCTGGCCAAGCAGTGGGGAGTGTTTTCGCCTATTGACTTGATAAAATTTCAGGTGAGTCTCAATGGCGGGGGTTTCAGCTAGTTGACGGGAAGATATTAGTTTCCTCATTAAAGAATTTCAGCTGTGAGAGTTTCTTATACGCCTATTTCTTTCTTGTGTGAGACCTCTACTGCGAGCGATGATTAATAGGATGTAAGCCATTCCATTTCCATTTGTTTCGAGTGAATGGATTGGATGGGTTTCGTTCGAAAACGCGTGATCAAAGCGCATTGACCACCCTAATCGACCACATAGGTGGGATGAGATGATCAAGACGGCAAGTAGGTGACTCGTGACTTACATTGCTCTGCCCTAAGAAAAGAAATAGACCACTGCACAGGAGTTGTTTTCATGGCACATTTTCATCATGCCGCTGACCGATATCCTGAATGCCCATCGGCCTGAACTCAAGTCTTATGAAGTGTTATACAAACACTTCCACTCAAACCCCGAACTTTCCAATCAAGAGATAGAAACATCGACCGCCATTGTCAATCATCTTTCCGCCATCTCGTCAGACTTTGACATTAAGACAAACATTGGGGGTTATGGTGTTGCTGCGGTTTTTCATAATGGTCCTGGCCCAATTGTGCTCTCACGAGCCGACATGGATGCTCTTCCTATAGAAGAACGAACTGGTCTCCCATATGCCAGCACAAAGCGAGTCATTGATGTTCATGGCAAAGAGCAACCGGTGATGCATGCATGTGGCCACGATATGCATATTACATGTCTTTTGGCATATGCTGAACTTATGGTATCGGCGCGGCAATCATGGCATGGAACTATTGTTCTTATCTTTCAGCCCGCCGAAGAACGAGGTACAGGTGCTCAAAGGATGGTCGACGATGGACTATACGATCCTGAAAGACATAACGTTCCTATTCCTGATGTAGTTTTCAGTGGACATGTCGTTCCAGCCCGAGCTGGTGTCATTGGTATCCGACCCGGTACGATGGCTAGTTCTTGCGACAATCTGCGCGTGACTTTCCACGGTCGCGGTGGACATGCTTCTATGCCTGAGCGTCTTATAGATCCTATTGTCATGGCGTCCAGTACCGTCATGAGATTACAAACGCTTGTGTCCAGGGAGGTTCATCCCAGTGAACATGCAGTTGTTACGTGCGCAAGTTTCATTTCTGGCTCGACGACTGCAGAAAATGTGGTTAGTGATGATGCGACAATCACTCTTGACATTCGCGCAAATGACGAGACCACAAGACAGAAACTCTACAATGGAGTTCTGCGAATTGTCAAAGCTGAAAGCGCAGCGTCCAATGCAGTCGTCGAACCGACAATAACTCCTACTCGATCGTTTCCCGTAACCTATAATAATGCCTCCGTTACTGAAAGAGTGGGCAAAGCTTTTCACGATCATTTCAGGCCTGGCGATGAAACTTATGTTGCAGATTATCCTAGGCTTAGTTTTAGTGAAGATTTTTGCATCCTTGCATCTGCTGTTGAAAGTCCTTCTCTTTTATTCGCCTATGGTTGTACAGAACCCGAGAAAGTTGACCTAGCCCAAAAAGAAGGGACATTGGCGGAGAGTATACCAGGAAATCACAGTTCTCTCTTTGCTCCACAAATATTTCCTACAATGCAAGTAGGTATAGATGCATATGCTTTAAGCGCTTTAGCGTGGCTATCAGAAGACAAGAGGAGAAGTGATAGCAGCTGAGGAAGTTCAAAGTGGGGATGGCAGAAGGAACACATATAAATTCCATATCGATATCATTCATGCCTGCACATGTGTAAAGGCTTCAAATGGTGGTCAGATTTGAAACAAATCATTCGTGCCTCTCTATGCCTCGAATGATCTCTATTGACTAATGTTCCACCACGATATGATGGCCAATGGATCTAGTACTTTCAAGCTGCATATAGCCGCACAGAGCGAGTCATCTCTACAAACCTTCGCTCGTCGGGTGGTGGAAGATCAGACGCAGAGACTTTAACTCCCTTTATGCAAAGCTCAACCAACGCCTCTTGGGGGTTTAGCTTTCAATTCTCTTCAGAAACATCACAAAATTTAATGGCAATCTGGTTTGTCCGAAACCAGCCTTCACTTCACCTCCGTGATATCAGGGATTTCTCTTGCTGAGAACTTCACTTTCCGAGAATCGCAAAGGACTAGAATGAACATTTGCAAAAGGGTAGTAAGTCAACGTAAAACCACGAGTTTTGCTGTCGATCAGTGATAGACCACCGTAAAATGCCTTCATGAGAGCCATACCCATGCTTCAGTTCTCCCACTCAATTTCGATTGGTACTCAAGGAGCAAGAGTGACCAAAGTCGCAACCCAATCCTTCATGCGATCATACCCATTCATCCGGCCCTCCACATAATACTGCTTAAACAGCATATCTTCATTTGCCTCCTCCCACCGAACCCTGACATAAACCCACGCAAAATTTCCCACATCATCATCAACTCTCTCCCAACCCAAAGTGATCCACCCATCTTTAGCCTCGAGCACGAAACCAGAAAGACGAAATTCTGGACACTTTTCTTCTTGCCTAGCAGTGCTACATAGTTCTATCGCGTCGTCGACTTCGAATGCAGTGCGTGTCCAGTTTTTGCCTTCGTTAATCGAGAGGTGTCCGTGTAACATGTATCCCATGCCAATTTTGAGCTCAGCTTCTCCGCGTCCGATCAGTATGTTCTGCTCTTCTGGCCATTGAAGGATGGAGAATTTGTAGGCCCATGGTTGCCCTTCGTGGACGGTAATTTTTTCGCCGTTGTAGATGTCGATGAGGGTTGCGTTGACGGTGAGAGAGATGTTTGTGTCGTCGTTTTTGTTGTATACTGCGTCTTCCATATTGTTCTAAGAGCTGTATATGCTGTGTTTTTTAAATATAAGCTATATGTTTCTTTTAAAATGTTGTATTTGAGTAATGGGGGTAGTCGAGTTATGCAGAAAGAGCTTGGGGCTCCATTCACCTTGTTTATTTTATTTGTTTGCATATCATACTTCAAAAAGAGATCGGGGCAAGGATTCACTGTTCTCTGCATGAGCTGTCTTCGTTAAATGTAGAGAGATTTCACGGTGAATAATTGTCGTCTGCAGCTTTCAGTTGACTTACTCTGATGTCGATGATTCGCAAAATGTCAACACCATGAAGGAAGTTGGGCATAATAATGCCATTCACAATCTAGTAAACGGCAAATCCTAGTTTTCTGGAAGTTAATCATAATTTTGCAAGCTCTGTTAAATATCACCTTGTGTGTATAAAGGCGCTCTACATGTTCTCGTTCGCGTTCTCGTTCACCTTCAAACCTCCAAACCTCCCAACAAAGATATACACTCAATCACTGCCTTGAGAAAATCAAACACACACCAAACATACCCCTATTCTCCCAAATCTTCTTCAAAATTGGGTATCATGGCTTCTGAAGCACCACCTACTGGTCCTGGCCGTGGCGTTAGTCAACTTTATCCAACAGCTTCAGTGATGGGCAGAGAATCACAAGCACCATCCGCTTCCGCCTCAGCTCGGATTGTTAGCCAGCTTCATCCATCCCCAAGTCGCTCCCCATCTCAGGCTCCTAAAGCACTCTCCAAAGCACCATCTTCAACTGTTCAGAACCAGTCTCACCATACATCGGTAAAATCTTCTCAAGCTCCAACTATTACAGGTCCATCTCAGACTATGTATACTCAACCAACATTAAGACCCTCTCATGCCGCAACCTTAAGAGGCGCATCGCAAGCTCCATCGCACCAACAATCTATCAGAGCTTCACATGCAGCAACTCTCAGAGGTCAGTCCCAAGCTCCATCCTCTTACACAACATCTCGTGGTACCATCAACTACACCGCCACATCCCCTCGAACTCTAGGCCGTGGACCTTCCTTAAAACCATTCGACGATGCCACTGAGCTTCAACGTGACGTTTCTCGCCAACCATCAATAATGCTGCAATCACCATCTAATCGCCAAACATTTCTCCAACGTGACCCTAGCATTTCCCAACCCACACTCCTCAACCGAGACCAATCCCAAATGCACTCATCCATGTCAACGATAAAAGAAGTCAGCATCGCCCCCTCCAAAAAAATCGAAAACATGTCCAGCGTCCGCAGTATCCTCCATACCCCCAACGACATACAAATGGCCAGTCGTCAACCCACAATCAACAATATGAAAGGTGCGGAGCGCGAAGAACAAGAATCCTGGGCCTTGGGAAAACTCGGAAAATTAAATACTGGATGTCCGCAGAACTATGGGTGGTCTCGTAGAAGTGATGGATATATATGTGATGGGGGAAGTCACTATATTACAGATTTGTTGCTTGCGGAAGGAATGGGTGGGATGTTTGCGGTGAAGAATAAACACGAGTGGCAGGATAGAAGTCAGGGTCCGTATTATTGGGTTGGGAAGAACGCAGAGGGTAAGAATCTTTTTTCGAAGAATAAGGATTCTAAGATGGTTTAGGGACGTCGCTAGTGTATTTTCACTTGATATATAGGTAGATTGGTTGCGTGTGTATTGGAGTAATCGATGCTTTTCTCACTTGTTTAACTAACCTGAACTTGAATGAAGATCAAATGAAAATGAACATTCACAATTGTATGAGGATATGAAACTGTACATGGGCATCTCAGTACTTCGAGTGTATACCAAGGATATTACCAAGCCAGCATCAAGTATATTTGTTTGTCATAATTTTATTTTTCCTACCCCAATGAGAAGGGTTGGTTAGCCCCTTGATTATGAATCAGAGTCTCATTTTGAGGTGAAAGAATTTTATGGGAGCACTTGGGGTCTCGAAATCTGTCATGTCCTGTACTTCTTCGAACAGCTGTATCTTTGTCTTCAATCTCTCATTTTCAGTCTTCAATCTGTTTATTTCCTCCTCCAACAAACCTGCCCTAGGAGCATCCCCACTGGGCAGATGCACAATTGTCGGCACATTTTCTCTCAGCAGCACCGACGAACCATCCACTGCTCCTGATATGTTTTCCCCAGTTCTCATCACGGTAGCGAATGTACTCTCTATTTCCCTTTCCAGATCACCCATATGACCATTGATTGCCTTGATTTCCTTCTGCAGCATTGAAGTTTCTTCCTGTAAGATAGGCATACTTTCGATCTTTACTCGATTCATTCTTTTCCTCATCTCTTTGATCTTGGTCGAAAACATCTTGCTTAAAATATCTCTAATCACCCGGAAATGACACGCAAGATCATGTCGAACTTCAGGCGCAAGGGGCAAGTGGTCTGAGATCTCGACTGTGAAGAGTTAGATTCATAATACATTGATGATAAGATTTTCTTGCAACGCACTTGCATATTGTCCTCTCACTGTGCTTTCAGCATTAATGCAATCTGCGCATTTGTCTTCGGGACCTTCGTCGTGACCGTGATGACTGTCGTGCGGTACAAAAACCACATGTCCGTATTTGGTATAATAACAGCATCGACATAGACATTTTGCTGGTTGAGCAATATCGCATTTGGACGCGGTGGGACATTCTGTCAGAAGTTTGACTAACCTGTCAGTTTGCAGTACCTTTTATTGCTGAGGATTTGGGAACTTACTTTCAAGGTCTCTAGATTCTTCGCCGAGCTCAAGAGCGAGGGGTAATGTCAGTTTCTTGGAAGGATGTAAGTACCATATTGGGAAAAAGGGATCTTGTAAGGAACTTACGTTCTCGAAGTCATCGCTCTTGGTTCCAGCAGTTCTCTGCCTTTTCGACGGTGGACCGTCATCTGAAGGATCCTCATCGTACAAAAGATTCATTTTGGACATTGTGAACTCCTAGACTGGGTTGGTATCGACATCAAGAAGAACTTTCTCAAATAAAGGCAAACAAGAGATATTAAGAGTCATTCCTGCGTGTGATGAAAAATGTACATACTTCCTGCGTTTGAAACCATCCGACGGATCTCTACATGGAAAAAATTAAAGACCAATCAACAGGGGCCAAGCAGAGCCAAGTTAAGCCTGCTGCAAGCCTTTGTGTAACAGCGTATGATGTGGGTTGATCTGGACCGCGGAATAGATTGGATTTATGAGTCAGCACAACATGTTGCAAACGCGGCGGTTTTGAGTTACTTTTGTGTAACATGTTATTCTAACATTGCAAATCTTAGGATAGAGTAACCTCCTGAGCAGATCTCTGTTCTTCTACGCATATTTCAATGAGTCTCTACAAGCTTCCAACCAATCTTCATTGTCATAGGAACTTGACTCGCCATGCTCAACCTCCTTCAAAATCACGCTTCATAGTCAAGTATCTCTCTGAATACATAGCCCGCGAACTTCAGGTCCTCCTCTTCATTAATTTACTTTTACATTTTTGCCTGATATCTGTGCTTCGCATCTTCGTAGCACCGAAGCTTTCACTGAGGCTTTGTTGCTCATGCCAAATCAGAACCATGGCATTTAGTACCTGGAAGCAAGCACACGGATTTTTTTATAGGCTTCAATTTTTATTTTTATTTCATTAATTGGGTCATCGAAGCTTTCGTCCTGTCGCTTTACTTGGCATCGCATCCACAAGAACGGCAGTTCACTTTGGGGACTTGATTTCCTGCGACGTCTTCAATTGAAAACGAATTGCCTAATCAAGAGAGGACAAGAGGGTGATGAGATTCCAATCAGGCGTCTGATTGTATATCAAGTTGCAATTGAGCTAATGTGAAGCTAAGGCCATACAAATGCTTGGGTAAATAGACTCTCTCACACGAGATTTTCGTTAAAGTGACGATGGGGAAGAGTTGGCAGACTGAGAGGCAACTTAAGTAAAAGAGAAAGCATTAATCTGTAACAGCCATGAAATTCGACTGTAACAGCGGACATCAAGCTTTTTATCTTGAAGCTGAACGAACCACGCCAACTAGACCGGGCGAGTGGTAACTCATTCAATTGCAAGAGAAAAAAGTACGAACCTCTGCTTTCATTTGAAAGACGCAGGCAAATCTGGCATCGGAGCAGCGCCGGGACGGACTACAATTATCAAGACAGCGATAAGTGTCTCAAGAGAGCAAAGATCACAGAAATAAAGTACGCATCCATATTCCACGTGAGCAAGGGGTCTCAGCTGATCCTCAGGACAGCAACAATCGAAATGTACTGTGAGCAATCCAGCTTTTAAACTCCATGATGGCCAAAATATCAAAGGGGGATGCTCGTAATTAATGATGCAGATGGCAAATTACAGCTCATAACCTTGATGATGTCAAGAGGAGGAATAATTCATAAATTTAGAACTAGCACACTGGAATCTGATCCCGATCAATTTGGGCTTTCGTAAAGACAATTCTTGCTTTATTAATGCCGAATGTAAATGTCGTGGGAAAGAACGATTGGAAGACGTCACCTCGTAAAAATCTTGTGTGAGTTTCTTTTTATTTGTAGCCATCAATGAACGCTTGGTAGAGCTTTCCTCTCTAGATCCAGGCCACATCTGCGTGCATGAGCGGCAATCCCATTCAGAACAAAAAAAGATACACGCGATCATTCCGAATACTGCGACAGCAATGTCTTCTGCTGATACGCCAGTCTCGAATAGCTCGATCAAGAAGGACTCCTCACCCATGTTAAGTGATCTCAAACAAGAGATACTTGAGTTACCTGTCGACCCCAGAAATTGGTCAAATGGATTGAAAACCAAGAATTCTGCGTCTTATCAGAAGACTGGGATCAAAGTAAACAACTTGAGCCCAGGCTTTTCTCCTCAATCCGACGAGAAAACTGTCCCTGGATTGCAAGTCCGTGACCTTCAGAGAATGAAGGAACTCTATGACTTCATAGCCTCTGCTTTAGCGCAATTTTCAGTCGATGAATTCATCAAAAGGTTCAATGTGACAGAGAGGACATTGCAACAATTTTTCACACACAAGACTCAGATTGATGCTGATCAAGGTTAGTCCTTGAATCTTCAAGATAACTCCAATCCTCTGCATTCGAATATTAATCTGAAGTCACCTCAGGTGAAGAGATTAGCAACAATATCGAGATTATGAAAGCAGAGATTTTAGAATCAAGGAAGGTTCTTTCAAAAATTAAGGAACAAATCTGTGCTTTTAAGCATTCGAACGGAGACTTTCCAAAGACGAAAGCGGAGGAATTTGAAAAACAATACGTTATTGATCAATTGCAGAAGGCAAAAAAGAAGTTGGAGGCGCTAGAAATGATGTGCGTCAGGCTTCATTCCATGATTGATCAATGTTCGAGAATATTGGGAGGTAGATGGAATAAGTATTAGAACGAGGAAATGGATATTCTAAGACTTTAAAGATTGAGGGCGAAGTAAATGTACAAGCCCCCTACGAATGGTGTGAATTAGCAAGCAAGAGGGTTATGATGGAACGCGGCGTCACATCTGCTTCGACTTTCGTAGTTCATGTCGTAGATCAGAAATGAAGGCGGATTTGTTCATAGTGAAATTTTGAGTACGTTGACAACGTGCCACGCAAGTAATGATGATCATGTATCGGAAAAGAAGGATATGAGTTGAGATTGGTTGGTGATTACTAATGACGTCAGGTGATACAGAATCTGCTGTGTCTCCAGGGGCAGCGAGGCAGGCACTTGCATTGTCCTGGCCCCGAATCACAGGGGCCGAAATAATCATTCCACTCAAACTCTGACACGACTTGGCTGATCATCTCACTACCAGCAGGATGAATACAGTCAGCGACTTCTATTTGTATTCATATCATCAGCCAGAAGTGCTATCCGCTATCCGCTATCCTTCTACAACTCATATAATAAGCCATCATTTGCCAAATGAAGATAAACGTAACCAGATATCTGACCATTCATAGCACCTCCGGATAGGTATCCAAAGGCTGAAACTAATATGGCTAGAGCTCAAGCTCCACGACTGACGGCCCCTACATCATGGATCGCAATTCAAATCCCCGTTAATAAACATATCTCAGATAGGAAATCAGAAGAAGGAAAGAAGTGGCTTGAAATTATCAAACCGCTCACAAAGGAATTACAGTCAGGTTTCGAACATGGAGTATGGGGTCGATTGGTTGAACGACCCAACGAAGTTTGGCTCATCACTGGCTGGGAATCTTTGGAAGCCATACGAAAATTCGAGGAATCGGATGTGTATGAAGGACAATTGAAAGTATTGAGAGAGCTTTCGGAGGGGAAAGAACCAATCATTACACATGCTCAACTATCAGGGGACTTCTGGAACATGTTGACTGATTTTACTGGGATTACGGATGTTTATTTCCCGGAGGACGTAGAGGACGAGGCAAAGAAGAGGGTTAATGACTTGAAAGGGTTGATTTACTTCTTTGCGCCCGGAAAGAAGTCTGGTAAGAGTGCATACAGCGGAAAGGCAATTAAGGGTTGGGTGAGTGAACCGGTCGAGTTTGAGGAGAAGCAAACCAGAGTCATGAGGTATCTGCATTACTGGCACAGTAAAGAAGGGGAAGAAGAATTCAAAGTAGAAGCTGGATTTTTCATAGAAGCTGGAGAATCGAAGAACATGTTCAGTTAGTGGGTGGCAGGCCTAAAAGATGAGGGAATGCTGGGGATGGAAGAAGTGCATTGCAAATTTGAGACTGTTCCTTGGAAATTCTGGGAATACACATCTGAAGAGGAGAGAGAAATGGCAGAAATGGATGCGGAGGAGTAAAAGCCGGTCAATTTTATTAGTAGCTCAACTGGGCTTTTCAGGGCGTGTGCTGCTAAATAAACGTCACTATGATTCAGCAATCGTTTTGCCGATATGCTCACTTCAAAGGCTACCAGTGTAGAGAAGCCACGCTCATACTGTCGTTTCTACAGAAGATTGGTAAATAACCAATATATCAATCAATGTACATCTTTACACCTACCAGCTCAAAAATTCTTGTATGACAAGCTTTTGATGATATCTACGTTTATCAATTTCATCAGATGCTACTCTTTAGTATGCTTTTCTCTTTACAGTATTGGAGCAGACGACGGAACTTATTGAGTTCATGAATATAAAAATTCTTGAACCTATTACTGATATAGCGTCTCGGCAAGCATTTGTAGTAGGACTTGGTTATACATAGCTTCTCGATCCAACATACGCAATAATTCGTTATACCTTTGTTATCATGTCAAGTTTGGAATTTATCCAACAGCTCCAGGTTTCGATCTAGGAAATTGAAAGCTGTCCGTAAGTTACCTCAAGTCAGATGGAACTGGCGAGTTGAAGTGTCAGCAAGTGAAGTTTACACGGCCTTCACCTTCAGAATCACAATATTAATTGATCAATGCGGAATACTCAATTGCAAGTCGGCAAAATTCTCATATATACACGAATTTGAATACACTGTCTCGTACTTCTATGTATTACTTTCAAAACTATCTCTATGTCTGGGCAAATTCGCTATGCCATTTATAGCTCGGATTACCATTCATGGTGAGATAGTAAGACCACGCAAAGAACACTTAAGAGTCTGGATTGACTAGACTTTGGGAACTTTGCTTATTAGCTGTTTGCGCTAGACATTCAGTTGATTTGGCTACAGAGAGCTCTGTTAGTAACACAAGTCAATGTCAAGAAATTAAGTTGACTTACTGGCACTATCCGGTGTATCATCTGCTCCTCGTCCAAATTTCAAAAGGATCAATTCATGGAAAAGTGTCAACGATCTTGGAGAAGCATAATCAAGATAAGCGCCAACAGTTTCGCCTGGGTCGATGCCATAGCAGTAGCTACCGTCTCATTTGGTTCCGAATCCGTACTGAATGCAACTGGGCAAAGCGTAACGACATCACGATAAAGGCTCGTATTCGTAAGACCAAATCGAAGTTCCCTGTGTGATAGCGTCTTTCCTCTATACCTCGGGGGTGAGCTTCCAGGGTATCGATTTGCCTTGGTTTCTATAACGTAGTCGTGCAGATCAGAGGAATAGCATGCATATCTTGCCCAATTGCATGTCTTTGACCAAGCTATTGTGCTAGCATCGACTGAGCCAGCGAAGGTGCGAAAGTTGGCCTGCTTGGTGGAGTCTTTTGGGCCCGGAACCGGTTTTCCGGTAGGGTCGTACATGAATTCTGTTTCTACTTGCCATGTAGAATCATAGAAGAGCCATGGATTTCCTGTACCGTCTCCTTCTACAGTGAATCTCCCGTTCTGTCTGTTGAGGAATCTCTGGGCACCTTGCAATGTGTCTATTGTTGTGCTAGTTCAAGTATTTATCCACAGACTGGTAGTAAATGTTGGAAGATTATTTGGGCTTGAAAAACAGTCACTTACTTGCAACAGTCGTAAGTATACCATTATCTGAAGCATGCACCTTACCAGATTTGGTAGGCCTAATGCCAAAATAAGCGAAAAGATTATTCCGCATATTTTCATCGGATTGATAGGCATCAATACCACCAGAGCAGCATCGACAAGAAGAGCAATATTGTCAAGCAAATTTTGTATAATGACTTTGGTTGTACCAAGATCACCAGGTCTTGTCGTTTTGGTGTTACAGAGGGAGTTTAGAGTGACCGCGTTGCACAACCCAAGTAGGGCAGGAACTATCATGTATGTAGAGAACTTCATTATGAAAGGAAAATAATGCGTATGTCAAAAATAGATTTAGTGGTTTAGAAAGAATGACTAGAAGGAGACAACGAAATCTATTTTGATACAAAGCGGTCAAGGCATGATCTTAGAAGTGATAACTCTTATCCCAAATTTCTCGATGATGAATACGAGCGAAGATTGAGGTTAAATTCATACTTATTACGGTATATCAATCCTATAATTTCCACTGGGAGTCTCGATGCGGATTGAGTACTTTCTTGGGGGCAAAAGATAGCGTGAGTAAGCAAGATTATGCTAGCTTGCTGAGAAAAGTGTGTACCGAGAATCAGCCTCCTTCCTGTCCAAAGACGATAAAACGGATATTACCCCTGAGAAATGAACAACGGGACTTCTGACGTTGTAATCGGAAGTTAGGCTTATTCTCCTGCGAATTTAGCTGCACAAATGAAAGATCCTAATGATTGCTACCCTTAGAAGGATTTTGAATACCTAGTTTTAGATTCGTATTGAGGAAGTCTTTGATTTGAGAGGCTTTTAAGATGTGCTGAATGTAGATTTGAACACTCTGTTGCCGGTGTATATGGAATAAATCGTCGCCATCGTTTTCTCTCTATTTCAGTTCAGTGATTTTTTTCATCGATTTGTTGAGTTCATACTCTTTGAATCTTTCCCACATTTGATATCCGCTTTATTGCTGTGAACATGTATATGAAGATACATGTCGGCATCATAGCGTGTATTTGACGAGAGTCAAGAACTCTTTGATCACGCTGTGATACACTTCTGATGTCTGTTTGTTTTTTAACTCAATGCAGCTAGTCACTCGAGGTGTATTCCACATTGAGTAGGTAGTGGATCTCATCAGTGGAGGATTTCGGTGTGATTTCGAGATTCTCCAATATCCGAAGTTTTTGAGCAAAACCAACATGCCCTGCCTCCAATGTTAAATTCATGTGAATGTGAGTCGATGAAATGGCCCTTATAAGCACCTGCTTTGCGCAATGTTTTGCAAACGATCGTTGGCAGAGACATTCCAACTTTATGGAGAGCTTTGATAGGAGCCCCATCATAAACTTTTACATTAGGATCTGGTGCCGAAACAATCATGAAGGGAGTCCTCTCGCTAACATCTTTTATACCGAAATCAAGAGCATGAAGCCTGTTTAACGGCTGATGATTATCGCTCACTATGATGATATCCGTTGACTTCAAAGTGTTCTCGATGCAAGCGAGATAAGCTATCCCATCATTCAGCGAAATCATTTGACTCATCATGAGCCTCATGAAGTCACCCCAGATTGTTCTTTGATACTCTGTCAGCCTACGGAGAACCATCTCGTGCTCTCCTCTAGAGCTAGCGTTCCTTTCAGCACGATGATAGTTTGCTTGTAGAACTTGTGCAATGGCCAAACGTTGCTTCCAGGAATACCTTCCCCCACTAAATGCTGCAACAAGCCGTAAAGCTAGTTTCCAACGACCACTGGCAAAAAGTATCATTGTTATATCCCGACGGAGACCCCCATTCAAATCTCGAAAGACTTTACCCAACCGCCTTATTATGCGACAGGAACCAGCCCAGCGACCATACATGTTTACGCTCCCACCGAAAATGCTAATTTTACCCTCTTTGACATGTACTGTATCAAGTCCGGAATACTGTGATGATTTGTGACGCGTCTTAAACGGTGGCATTATACAGTTTGTGCTAGTGAATTCGGATATGACAGGAGGAAGAAATATCCAACGATGATGCCCTTGACGTATTGCTTCCTCCCACCAAAGGGCCCAAACATTGTTCTGTCCGGTGACGACTCCTGGGGGTATAACTACCCCCGAAGCTGCCATTGCACCATAGATCTCATCATCTGGAAACGAAGCCGAGCGATTTCCCAAGAGCTCCATGACACGAGTCTGATCAATTCTCCCAGCTCCAGCATTCACCATACCGGTGTAAAAGTCGTAGACTTTAGCATATTTCCCACCTATTGCTTCCTCGATATTGAAGACATCACACAAGTCCGGCAGTGCACTGAACATAACATCATCTATCCGAAGACATACATTTTCTTTGCCAACCCAAATAACTTGTCGAGCAAGAATATACTCCTGCAATGTCCAGATTCGATCAGCCCATCGCGTTCTGGTGAAAAACTCAAGACAATCCATCCCCTCAATGATTTTTTGTCGACCATCTCCATGTGCCCAATACTCCAACATGAACTCTGTATATTCTTCATTCCTAGAAATTGCGATGGCTTCACCTAGGTCCCTGGTGAGTAGATCCAAATAATCTTGCGTCATCCAACGCGGGAAATCACAAGTTGTGACGATCACTACCACTTGCGCATTTCCATATATGTCACCCATCACAGGTATTTGAAGTTTCTTGTCTTCTTCGTCATTTTGATCGATACATATTGTATCGATCCAACAATATTTTATGTTGGGAAAGAGTGTACGGACGGAAGTCTCGATCATGCTTCCACCAAGCGTGTTCTTGTATTCAGTGTGGATTGCGAACATGTTATCGGACCATGCATGAGAAGCTGCAAGATATGATGGCATGGCATCAATGGAGTAAGGTTCAAGTGCTCCGGAATCCATATTGATCAACTTGGTTCGCGTCATGTTTGTACTTTACCGTTGTCTTCGTCGCGTCGTACCTGATACGTATCTTGGTGGAAGCTAGTACCTCTAGGAAGCTTTTCAATCAAACTCCCAATTCATTGTAATTAAGATTAAAATTGGAGAATGGATATTAAGACAGCAGAGATCGAAAGAGCCACTGTCCTGTTGGGGCATACACTTTGATGATTGAGGAGCCTCGTACGTCGAGATCCAAAAAGCTTCGGCTTGTTCGAGATCCTCGTAACATAATCTTGATATAATATGGGATGATAGAGTGTCGATTATTGTCTGTGTAGGGAAACACTCTGGGATTCAATCATTGCTACAAATCGTAGACGACCGTATCAAGTTCCAGCTCGTCGTTATCAATAGTCCGTGCACGAAATTGACTGTTATGTACTCGGCTCCCTCGGACAAACCAACCAAGCTTGGAAAAAAATTATTTCACAATACAACAATGATTCAAAAAAGTTCAATCAATTATCAATTTCCTAACATTTATTTATGAGGATTCAAAGGGTAGCATTGATGAGTTGATTCCTTATTGGATTTTGGAGAAGGAATCTGATGAACTTGATGTTGCCCCTTTATTTCGTCCACACTGAGTGTATTTCGCACGACGCTACATGCCTCGACAACAGAGCATAAACATCGACACACTCATTAAGCTGCACTTAATTCTCATTGGAGCTCGGAATCTCTCAATATATCACGAGCTACCAGGCAGAAACTATTGTGTTGAACGACTACGGAACGATCAAATGACCTAGACAGTCGTTTCGTTTACGTAGGCATCGTGCTGGAATATCGCGGATTCTCTTTGACAAGCATGCTCGCTCGTATCATCAGCCCTCGGTACTCAACTTGCCACTTGAATACATATGCTCGTTTCTGTCACACAAAATTGTGCGGAAAGCATTTCATAGCGTCTAAATTTCCTACTACCAACTAGCGCTTACATGCTGAAAGATAGTCCACCATTAGCACTTATCAAACTTCCCGTCATCCACGATGAATCTGGATCGCAGATGATGGCAATAATGCCTGCAATATCATGATCATAAGCTGCTCTTCCACCCAATCGATTGCCTAATTCTCTGACTTCGGGACTGTCGGTTTCTCTGACTGGGGCCAATGGCGTCAATGGATTCCACAAAGCCAGACCCTGTTTAACGTCCTCGGAAGCAGACAAATACATGTCAGTCATAACAGGCCCAGGATTAATAGCATTAACGGTTGCCCTTTCCGCCAATTCTCTAGCCCACACACGAGTCATTGCCTCCATCGCCGCTTTCGTACCTGAGTACAACGTTGTGTGCGGCGTCCCGATTTTGGAACTGATACTAGACATCATCACAATACGACCAGAACGATCGGTGGGGAGGAAGGGCTTGCAAGCTGCTGTCAACAGCGTAGGGCCCAACACATTGACAGCGTAGATGTGGTGGAATTCTTTTTCGATAACACTCTCAAGGGGACCGACATATAAAACTGCGGCATTGTGTACCAGTATATCGATTTGTAGAGCGCCAATATTGGAGTTCTTGAAATTCTCTTTCGCAGCAGCGATAATCTGTTCGCAGCCAGCAGATGTACTAATATCTGCACGCACGGTTATCGCTTTTATACAATGCTTCGATTCGAGTTCTACTTTGAGAGTAGCTGCGGCAACATCAGAGCTCGTAGTAGCATAGTTGATAACAATATTGCAGCCTTTGCTTGCAAGCTTTCTAACTATTCCAGCCCCAATACCTAAGCTTTGATGAGCATCACGAGTGTGTAATTGTTAGGAACTTAGGGCAAGAGCTTACTTCTGGCCGACCCAGTGACAATAGCCAATTTACCTTCATGGATCCGAGGTTCTACAGCCTGTGACGGCAGTTGTGTCTCTAACATGTTTTTTTTGGCTGAGCTGAGCTGAGCTGAGCTGATGTGATGAGACCTCGAGTTCTAGCCGGAATTTTCGATGACTTCTATCGAATATTGGATATGGATCAATTACATAGTACCCAAACTTGTGATGACAGATCTGTCCTTCCCAACCTCCCACTACCCCTGACACAAGATTCAGCTTTTCCTCCACCATCGTGTGTTATAGACGCATTGTACATGGGGCAACATTTCTCCATGGAATTGGTAGAATGACAATCAACCACAAATCTTGCATGTCTCTAACGTAGTCTGAGCAGCCGGCATAAGTTCCATGTTTTGGAAAGGACTATGCATTAGATTGCAAATTCCGGTAAAGATTCGCCAAATGCCAGTCGTCAATATGCGTTCCTTCAAATACCCCGTTTATTCAAATCTCCATCTTATTTAATGGGCCAACGCATATTTGGTAAACGAGTGTAATTATTACCTAGGCACTCACTTCGTGGACTCAAGTGGGTACAGGAATTGATCCCGGATTTCCCAAATAGCGGGGCAATTGTTTATTCCTGAAGTTAGCCGTTCCCTGTACCGGGAGGGCGTATGGGTCCCCCCATCTCTATTTTGCAACAAGCTTTAATGCAGATACTTGTGGACTGGGATTAGTATATTCTTTAGTCATTGAGCCTCGCAACCATTGCATCTATCGCACGTGGTTATGAGGATCAATTCGCTCACTCTAGCTCAGCTGTTTCCCATTCTAACCAGTGATCAAACTGCAAAGGAATGACTCAAGACTACCGTAGAAATCAACAAATTAGGACTAATACTAAGCTTATTTCAGTTTCTGGCTTTTCCCGAAGCTGAAACAAAAGTGGATAACATAAGTATTCGCTTGAGAATGATATCAAATTCTTCACCCCGGGAATAGGAAATGAGAATAAATCTTATTGAAATGGAGATTCATTGGTGCAGCTCTTCACATGCGAATTTCGACGGTACTGAGCTTTTTATGTAACACTGTGGGGAACGCAATCAAGGTGAACAGGCTGCCAAGAAACTGATCTTGACCCCTGGCAAAAACTTTCTCAGGAGTAATAAACCTCGACTTTCAATAGAAATATCCGATTATCGTTAGCAAAGAAAACCATGCCAAGGAGTTATCAACGCGGAATTGATAGCTTCCTGCATTCCTCATGACTAGAATTGGACTTTCTTGCCGACATATGAGTTATCAGAGCAACCATTACCGACTCGTTATTTTACATCGCCTACCGCGGTTCGAACAAGATGTATTGCCATTGCTTCAAGACAACCCTTTCTCGTGGCATACAGAGTGGTCTGATATCTACATGGGCTAACGTCGTCAAGGAGATACGAGCCTAACCTCTGGCTTCAAGACTCAACTAGCACCTTGTATAGGGATGAACTCTATGCTGATGTACCCCAGCTTTGTTTCTTTTTCTTGAGTTCTGGAAGAGTTGATTTATGTGCTCAGCTTTACAGCCACGTGAATTTCAGTCTTTTAGTTGAGATCTTTCTGGGTTGTCATACGGCATGCTAGCACAAAACGTGGCAAGATTTCAGATGACAATGAGACGGACAATTGACAATCAATTGCAAATCAGTCAAAATTTACGAGTTCGAAATTATGTACTGAGCGATGTCACTGTCGAGAGAATGCGAGTAGTCTTGGCAAGTGATTATGCCCTTATGATCATTTTCTATTCTTTCAGTTGATACGGGCAACCAATATCCTAGTTTACTTCGCCAAATATCCTCCATCTACGGGTAAACAAACACCAGTGACATATGAGGAATTATCTGACGAGAGCCACAACGAGGCTTGTGCGACTTCATGAGCCATTCCGAAACGATGCAAGTTGCTGACCGTTGGGGCAAACTCTTCCATGGTAGTTCCCAGAATCTCCAATGCTGCGGCTGACATATCACTCTGCTTTTGCGTTAGTTTCGTTGAAATGCTATATTATTGCAACATAGTGGTAAACTCACAAAGATAGCACCCGGTGCAACGGCATTCACCCGGATCCCCTTTGGCCCTCCCTCCACAGAGGCATGTTTAGTCAAACCAATGATAGCATGTTTCGTTGCTGTATAAGCAGGCATGTTTGGTTGTGGCCTAAAAGCGTTGATAGATGCAATATTGACGATAGAGCCTTTGGTGCCCTGTTTTGCCATCTGTTGCATTTCATACTTGCAACATAGAGCTGTTCCAGTGAGGTTGATTCCCACGAGAGTATTCCAGTAGTCTTCATCAAAATTGATAAGCTGTGTTCTGTCTGGCGTGAGAGCAGCGTTGTTAACAGCTACATCGAGCTTGCCGAATTTCTCGACTGTTACCGCGATGAGATTTTGAACGTCCGCCGACTTGGAGATGTCGCATCGCACAAATATGATGTCCCCAAACTGCGACAACTCTTTCTCGGTTGCTTGACCCTCGACTACTTTCACATCGGCAATGACCACTTGAGCACCAGCTCGTAGAAAGACTGATGCTGTAGCCTTTCCCATGCCTTGTGAACCGCCGGTTATGATTGCAACCTTGCCTTTCAGGACAGGGTAGACGGCAGCCTCTGGAACTTCCATTTTGCGGGTGATGTAAATTAAAATGTATAAAGTACGGGGACTGACTCGAGTTGAATTGAAAGTGTGTATTTCTTTGGAGTGAATTTGGCCAGAGCAACAATAGTATGATATAGGAGATATCACTGCTGCACGTTTATGGCCAACCAAGTAGATTTAATTGACCTCGTAAATCACGTAGGAGCTGCAAGTGAGACAATATAACATATCAAGCGAGTTATGAAGCCTCCGATTGTGTGGAAAGCCGAATGATTGGTGGTGGCGCTGGCTGCTGAAGCTCTGACATCTTTATCCACTGCGAAAACTATTTTAGCGGTGTACATTTGATTGATCACAATCCCCACCTTATCAGTCTCGATTATATGCCGGCAAACCTGTAGGCCATGACCCACACCACTCCTTACAGTTTAAAAAAGACTGTCACTTCCGAATCTGCAACAGAGCTTTTGTGACATATCGAAATCGAGCTTTACATTTACGCGAAAGAAAATCTACAGTCATAGATGGTTTAGTCAATCCTTGTCACATCTTATCTAACTTTACACGTTTGCCAAGAAAATTTGACGGCGGGGCAAAGAATGAAGCTAATTCTGCAGGTTCTGGGGTAGGCCGAGCGTCTGGATTTTCAATGCTAAGCTGGTGCCATTTCAGGACGATCTGTGAAAATGACGGGAAACTTTGATGTGGCAACTTCATACTTCCAATAACCGCAATCCAGTAGTGCTGCTAGGCTGGAGCTGAATGGCACTTGACGAAGTTCGTCCGAAGTCATTCTATGGAAAAGTTTTCCGACGCCTATGCAGTATGTCTGACACCAGGCTGAATATTAACAAGATGGGCCTGGCAAATATCAATCGATGGCAACTTATGACCCTTGCAACATGTGGTGTATATGGCTCGATCTAACCTCATGTTTACCTCGCGGAGACCAATTTGATACTTGCCGCGAACCCCTAGCCAAAATTCGGAGAAATATACTTTGGAAGTCAGCAAAGATTCGCAAGTAGCGTCGGCGAGTGCTGTATTTGGTCTTTATCGGGAGGATAATCCCTGGTCCCACGAGGTGTATTAGCTATGAATTTATCCAGTCATCTCGAAGTTAATTGATTTATTATAAGCTCGCTCGCACTTGGCTTGAGTATTGCTGTTATTTCAGACGAGACTGTGACCTAACTTGCGACCAACCATTTCTCTTTCTGATTGTCGCCTCAAGAAATTTTTCATACGATTTTCAATATGGCAGAAGTAGAGGTTAAGGCACCTGTGCCCCAGACTGAAGAGAAGCAATCTTCGGAGAGGGGCAATTCCAGCCAGGGAGATGGAGTTGACATCCCAAGACACACAAGTTTTGTCAACGTTATGGTTTGGAACAATGCTTCTTCTGGAAATTTACAATTACTGATGATTTTCAGGTCTTGGTGACGGCTTGTCTTGGTGGTTTTCTTTATGGTTTTGCTGCCAACGCAATCTCTGGCACAGTTGCTCAGCCGACATTCATCGCCAAATTTTTGACAAACTCTCAGGCTCTACAGCTCACAGATGCAATGCTTGGAGGGTAAGTGAAACAACTGCTTTGTCTTTTCCTCCGCTGATTGACTCCAAAAGATTCTTAGGTGGTGCTATGGTTGGCTCTCTGCTACAAGCCCCAATATCCAACAAGTTCGGGCGACGTATTGCCAATGCAGTGGCCGCAGGTATCGTGATTTTTGCTGCTGCTATCTCAGCTGGAGCTGTCAACGTTGCTATGTTTATTGCAGGCCGTGTTCTTACCGGTGTTGGTGCAGGCATGGTTCTTGCCAACTCTCCAGTTTACATGAGTGAAGTTGCTCCTCCTCACAACCGCGGCATGCTTGTTGGACTTCAAGGTGTTGGTATCGTTACCGCGTATATCATGGCTGCAGTTTGCGCCTTGGGATTCAATTTTGTCGAAGCCGAATATCAATGGAGATTGGTCTTCATTGTACTCTGTGGAGTTGCTTGTCTTCTCCTAGTGTCTCTCTGGTATCTACCCGAATCCCCAAGATGGTTGATGGAGAAAGGAAGAGACGCAGAGGCCAAGCAAGTTTTGGAATACTTGCACAAGACCAAAGCAGACCCTTATAACACTTTAGCTCGTGCTGAAGCAGTTCAGATCAGAGCTCAAGTAGACACCGAGAAATCTCTACCCAAAGGCTTCATCTATATCTTCTCTACCCCGCATCTCAGAAAGCGCGCCTTTATTTCGATCATTCTCTGGACTATGGGTCAAGGAACTGGTATAACTGCAATCGCAAATCTCATCCCCACATTTATGGCAGGTCTCGGGTTTGGTACTGTTGTTCAATTAGGGCTTGGTATTGTCTGGTCTGTTTGCGCTGTTATTGGATGCGGTATCAACGTTGTTCTTTTGGACCGCATTGGAAGACGAAAGCTTTTGAGTGAGTTAGCTCAAACTACTCAATGGTCCTTGCTAACCTCATTTAGTCGTTGGTGGTTTCGGAATGGCTGCTATTCTTAGCACAATGGCTGCATTGGTCAAGAACTATCTCGGTACACCTGCAGGCCCTGGTGTCAGAGCGCTTGTTGCTCTCTATTTCATCATGGGTGCCTTCTTCACTTCGACGATCGAATGTACTTCTTACGTTTACGGCTCTGAAATCTGGCCAACCCATCTCCGTAGTGAAGGATCCACCATCACATATCTCAGTTTCTTCGGAAATGCCATCGCGTATAGTGCCCCTGTCTCTGTTGGCTTGAACAACATCGGATGGAAGTTCTATATGATTCTCATTTGCGTGACTGTTGTCACTACCATTATGATTGTCATCTGGTTCCCAGAGGTAATAATTCCATCGGCTACTTTGCATGTTCCCCTTACTAATGACTTTTACAGACAATGGGTCTGACATTAGAGGAGATCAATGTTACATTTGGTGAAAAGGTCGAGTTAGAGCTCAAGGATGCTCTGTACAACGAGACTGAATCGACAACATCAGACCCCTCAAGGAAAGAATCTGCAGTCTAAAGCTTCGTTAAACCTCATAATATTCGAGGAATGCTCTTGGTGCGGACTTGACCAATTTCAACGCCTAGAGCATGATTTTTTTGACGGACAGAAAAACAATGAAAACAATTTTAATGACTTGGTAATAATTATATAAACATTGACAACTTGCGTTCCTCTTGCGCCTTCGAGTTTTCTTTTATGTGATCTATAAAATTTGTGCAATTGTTTTGCAGACAGTGCGGGCGTCATTTCCTCTTTTCAAAGTTTTTTCGAGTACCAAGGTAACGCAGCTTCTAAGCCTCAAACGCACCAACACGCCCTATATTAAAAGCTTTTATCAAACTTTAAAAATTTAGTTGTAAATCTGATCCACCTTTCGCCGTTACAGAAGTATGGATATCCAAACTCAATGTTATCATTTCCAAAGAATAGGCGAGGTGAGGACTCTTTGATTTTCAACAAAAAGGCACTGATCGTCCTTACGTAGGTAGCTATCTGTTTACATGTTGGAAGGAGAGATATGAGTATCAAATGGTTCTGGCCTCGTGGGCCAGCTATCTGGATTCTGCAAATCCGGGGCCTACTAGGATTCAGGATGAAAATTTCTGTCAATGTCGAATCATAATTCTAGTGCCCGCTGCCAAGTTATTCCATTTTACTCACTAGTCTCCACATGACTTTTGTACTACCGACAGGGAGGCGGGCACGTGGGGCCGACCGAGCTGCCGCGGCCCACTTCCAGGCTCAACTCCCCCTGCCTGTATCAATGATTATCCGAGCAACGCATCTGCACGACGTACGACCTGAATTATGAAAATTTTACTTCTTTTCATCTCAAAGTCTATGCTTCACCGATGTTAAAGGAAACAAAACAATTCATTTCGAACGTCAATAGTGGAAAAGATTAGAGCAGAAAACCCGCGCTAATTTCACCATAATTATGTATGTTATTGCATCTCCTAAGCTTCACTAGTCGCATTTCTGATTCAGTCAGAGGCGTTTTGTTGTTGAAGATCCGCAGATCTCTATCCCAGTCACAATGGCCCACGAATAGGGTCTTCCAAGCGAGGCCGCGGCATCATCTCGATTGTAAAAAAAGCAAGTCGATGCGTGCAAATGATTTAACAAGCTTAATCCCCATCCCAATATAGTCTTAGGCCGCCAGATGCCTAGTCATTGAGTGGATAGTTTGCAGTGGGTCTTCTTGTTGTCTACGGAGTAGTTTAGGATAAAACTCGTTTCTTAAAGTTTGCCAAATAGATGGATTGAATAAAACACACGAAATGTTCGACGATCTCAATTACACTCCTCGACTCCTAGGCTGTTTTCTTAATAGGTCTGCTGCAACTCCATGCAGTCGCATCATGCAACATCAAGAAGAGTTCCACAGATGATAGAAGATCTTCAATATTATCCCACTTTGATAGAGCAATTACGGGATGTCGCTCATGATATTCTCACAAATCCTGTGTTCGTTTTCCCCGGAGTACTTGGCCAAGTACTGTAGTTTTGAAAGTTACTGAAGCAAGTTCGCTAGAATTCACAGTTACTCTTTTTGGTGATGATAGTTCCAGGTTGCTTTTGCTGCAAAGGTAATCTTCCAGGGGCTGTAACGTCTGAAAAAGTAAATTCAATGCTGGCTTGAGCCATCCCAGCTTGTCTTGGGCATGGCATCATATATACACAGGAGCCATTATAATTCTCCCAAGACCATCAAGTACGTCCTCTTTTCTTTACTAATAGTGGTGGGTCCCAAACGGTGAAGAAACGACTCTGTGCATAGCAACCTACCAAAATACAACCAAAGAACTCTTGATCTTCAGAATGACAGTTCCGCTCACAGAGAAGGGCCAGCAATTGCTCGGCGTCCTGTGGATGGAAGTCGTCCTTTCGTTTGGCTTTATCAGTCTCCGGTTGTATACGCGCAAATTCATCGGTGGCGCGCCAGGTGTAGATGATTATCTTTTGATACTTAGCTGGGTAAGCTACAGGATACAGGACTTCTACATTGCAGACCTAATGATTTCGTCTAGGCTTTAATGACAGCTTTCGCGGCATGCATTTCACGCTCAGTATCATATGGCATGGGAACACACGCGTCAGCATTGACTCTTACGGATAATTCTCATGGCATATTATGGCTTCTAATAGGCCAGTTTATCATTGCAGTTGCGATGGGAATAAGCAAGTGCGCTGTAGCGGTCTTTTTATTACGAATCGTCAACCAAACTTGGTGAGTTGCACTCCTTGACGATGGATCAACACAGAATGGAGACTGACTGAGCATCAGGCATAAAATATTGCTCTACTTTTGGATCCTGACTATCCTGGTATTGAGTTTCCTGCTGGCTATCGCTGTGTTTGCGCAATGTACTCCAGTTCAGTCTATCTGGGATCCTACAGTTAAGGGTACATGTACGCTGAGTTTGACTGTCATTGCAAAAGTTATGTGCTGTAGGTTTTTTCGTCAACAGTAATCATATCAGTAGAAAAGCTAACACTTCCTCCAAGCTTGGTCTGCAGCAATGGACTTCTTCCTTGCGGGGTTTCCTTGGGTCGTCATCTGGGGTCTCAATATGAAAAAAAAAGAAAAGATCACCATCTGTGTTTCTTTGAGTTTGGGTGTTATGTGAGTTTTGGTCAACGTTCCCTCGCGACATTTGTATTAACCTTCGATTAGTGCTGGTGTATGTGGTGTAGTCCGCACTACAACCTTAGATGCTCTTATGGAGACTGATGACTATCTATGTGAGTGTCTTCTTCCACATTCAAACCTAGATGTACTCTTTTTATTGATGCTAATTGCCTCTGCAGATGCTGTTAGTGATTCCGTCATGTGGACTATGTCCGAGCTTTGTGCTACTGTTATCTGCGTCACTATTCCTGCCCTTCGACCCCTCTATAACCGGATTACAGGAGGCAGTTCAACAGGCGGACCTTATCAAAACTACGATTTCGACAACCAGAAGTCTGGCGCTGGCGAATATAATCTGAAATCTTTGAAATGTGGCAACAAGGAGGCAACTCATTACGACGTTGAAGTAACTCGAGGAGGCATAGACAATGACACTGATAGCGATACTTGCATTCTCGCACCACCAACAGCAGATGATCTGAAAGAAGGTGGAATTCAGCGCCACCGTGAGGTTACGGTTACATATGAGGATGGGATGAGTGCGACTAGCGGTAAGCAACATGTCTAGTCGAGCAATTGGATAGTTACTGCTTTGAAATGATATTGTTTGGATATGGGAAAGATACCAATTTGTGATTAGTACGGTCGATTTAAGGGACGGCTTTTGATTCTCAGACTGAATTAGTATGATGTACATCAGCTCCGAAAGATCCTGTAAGCTTTTGGTGTTTATGGTAGGGTTTGTAAAAGTATTTGAAGGGGCTCAAGGCCAATTGTTTTCATCAATTTGTATAGAACCTTAATAGCCAGATGAAATTCGCCTCAATTTCCGAGATAAGGATGTTTTAAAAATTATTCAGTTTTTTATCAACAATATATGCTCTCTGAAAGTACTCGAAAGTGTATGTAAAGGCGTGTCCGCTACATCTACTGAAAACAACACAAGCGCGCTCAATTATTTCTCAGCCGCGAACTTTCTATCACTCCTCACCACAGCTCGTGGCTATCTAGCAGAAACAGCCTCAAAAGTGACACAACTCGACGACGATCTTTTTCTTAGGGTATTTGAATATGGATCTGAGGCAAATAAGATTTTTTTGGCAACCGATTGTGCTCGACATAATAGTGAGATAAAGATCACCGCTGTACAAGTACTTACATATATGTTCGTACTCTTATGCAATACTAATGCAAGTCAACTTGATCCGAGACTATCGGCTTTTTGTAGCTCTAGACTATCAAACTTCAAGAACGCCTCTCCTCAGACTATCCTAAAGAGTCTAAGCGAATATTGGAAAGGATCGACATTGCTGGAGAATCTAGGCCTATTCCAACAAAAGATCCAATGCAATCTATTCATCAAGATACGAACAATCGCGTGAGTGTCAGCTAAGACCGAAATCGATGGAATATAGTCGTTTTAAATTCCAAATAGTATTTTGAAGACTAATTTTCCTTCACCCGGGGTTGTCCAAACAATAGATAGTGTAGTCTAGTTTATTCAAATATGCATTCTTTCTTTTTACGATCTTGAGAAGGGTTCAAAGTTTGCTAAGAGTACTTGAGTATCTCTTCAGATCTTTAACTTCTTCTTTGATCGCGAGCTCGCTCATAATTTCCTCACTCCCACCCCCTGCAGGTATTAGCATGATTACCACCCAAAAAGAAATAACAAGTCTGATGTTCTGGCCAGACAATCAGTACTTACCAACTGCCATAACTCTCACATCCCTCGAGATGGCCTCGATTCTATAGACACCATCAGTAGGCTATTACCCTTGCGTATTTGAACCAACCTACCTGCCACCTTTCCCACCTCGAGCATAGCCCAATCCACCCATGATTTGTTGAGCCTCCCTTACACATTTCTCGAGGCACCTCGTACTTACAACCTTCAACATAGCCGTCATACCTCCAATCCTCACATCGTATTCTTCGCCATTCTTCCTACTCAATTCAATCAACCAAGTCAACTGCTCTAGAAATGCTTGCGCGGGTTCGATCATTCTTCCCATCTTCACGAATTTCGCTCGAATCACCGGATTCTCAATCAATTTCTTTCCAAATGTCTCACGCGTACGAGCATGTTTCCATGCATCTTCAGCACATACTCTACTTAATCGAATGGCCGACGAGGCAATGCTTTTGCGCTCAGCATTGAAATTGGACATGATGACTTCAAATCCGCGATTTTCTTTATGTAGAAGGTTCTCAATGGGGACTTTAACATCATCAAAAGTAATAAATGTGCTGCCGGATGCTCCGACTCCCGAATTATGCATTGTCCTTCGAGAGACTCCGTCAGCTTTCAACGGGATGATGAGAAGCGATATACCAGTTGCCCCTGAGCCTCCGGTGCGAACTGCCGTGGTGACATAATCCGCCCAAATAGCGTTTGTGATCCATTTCTTTGAGCCATTGACGATATAATGGTCGCTGCTCCGTACAGCAGTGGTTTTAATATTTGCTACGTCGGATCCAGCATCAGGTTCCGTGATGCCAAGACAAAATCTTATGCTGCCGTTTGCAACAC